ATATTAAGTTGACTGCCATTTTAAAATTATCTTTTGTGGTTGCTAATGCCACAACAAAATTAAATGCAAACATAGGCATTGACATCATAGTGACAGTACTCTATTATAAATGATTCATCCAGATGACAAACCATATGCATCTATTAACTTCTGAGATCATTAAAGAAATTAAATCACAAAATTATAGTTGTTCAAAAAGAACTCTTGGATACCCCTAAATATGACCATGGAATCTATATTGAGAAACACTATATATATCAAGAGAATAAAATGGCTATAGTATCTCTACATATAAGCCAAGATCTTATAAGGTCCCTCAAAACTTGTTTTCCCCTGCTATAATGTGATGATACATCTTCTTGGCCACTGGGTTCAAAATTTCATCTCAAGACTCAACAAACCCTTCGGAATCTGCCCCTAAAATTAAAAATTGAAGTATTACTGGGTTTACTAAAGGTTATAAACATAGTGGCAAATGAACAAATTCATATTACTCTTTAAAAGGTTACATCTTCTCATACAGCATGTATGAAACAATTAGCTAAAGGAAGCGTCTTCCTGATGACATCATATTTAAAACTGCTTTCATTATAGCTTTCTCATGAACTTTTTTTCCCTCATGTACTTTTATCTGAAAGTCAATTATATTATTTGTAAAAATTCACAAATTCGTGAAGGTTTAGAGGTATAGGCAAGAAGCTTTTGGTAAGTCCAAGTTGTAATGTTACAGATAGTGTGACTCCAGTTATATTCTTGGACATGTTAAATACATTAAAGTACAGTAATTTTATGTTGAAAACAAAGGATGGCATCATATAAATTTAAAATCATGAAATTTAATTAAGAATGCAAAGATTTTTGTTACCTCAATTAATAAAGTAAACCAAAATATAAAACTTCAAAAAATGATTTGTGTTCATGTCCATGAAACTGCCATATTAGAATCCTGGGTTGTCTATTAAGAATTGAGATTCTCACTTCCATCTCAGACCAAAATCAGAACCTATGGAGGTGGCCATGAATCTAATTTTAAGGGGTGTTTATTCACTTTAAATTCAATATAATGAGATAAGTCTATTATTGTTTACTAGTGAATTTGTTAAACATTCTAGGATAATTATAACTGATGGGTATTGTCATAAATATGTATCCTATAAAGAAATTTTAACTCATTAGTTGGGCAAAATAAAAAGAAATTTTAAAAAACAGTTAATACTCTCTGAAGTATAAAAACTTGACATAACTCATTTTCTTACAAATAAAAATTAACTGGATTATATTTATATATGAATTCTTAAAAGAAGGCTCAGATGATCTTGCAATTTTTTTTTAAAGAAATGTAATTATGTTTCTAAACAAGGAAGTTATTTTTGAACAAAACTGTTCTTGCTTCTTAGGTACCAAAGTTCTCATAAGAGAAAAAGATTTCACCATTTCCTCATGAAACTTAATAGCTTTATTAAGTACAGACTCACTAATGCCTTATATAGTATCACTAACATTTCATTCTTTTGAAATTAAAAAAGCATGCTGAACGAACTCTACAATAGCAAACAGCTGCACAGTGCTTAGCAGCATAAAATTTTGATCTAATAAAGAAAATTCTTAAGTAGAAAATAAAAGTGTCTATAAGCACTTATAAAAACATAAAATATACACACAAGCTTATATATATAATACAGCTCAAAATATGCTATAATTAGACTATACTACTGACACTTATAAATAAAATCCAGATTTGGAATAAAAGATGAATCCTATTTTCCAGTGTTAGTATCTAGATATTATTTCCAAATAACTAAAGGTCTGGAAAAAATTATGAAAGGAAATCCCAGAAATCCAGTAAAATTGGCACTTTAGAAAGAGTGATTTCTTTTTAAAGGTCAAGAATCACATTCTATTAAATTTCTAAAACAGTTTTTATCTCACATGTGTCATGAACTAGCAGATTATATGCACAAAACTGTGCAATTGTGTGGTTTTAACATCTCTGAATGTGTTTGATAGGCTAATTATGAAATCAGTGCAATAACTGAGACACCTCTGCTCTGAGGAATACATATTATGAAAGAAAAGTTTCAGTTTTTGTAATTCTTTCTCCTAGTTACAGATCTCCTCAATTTTACTCAAAATCAGTATTTAATTGGTTATAGGTATTTGATATGAAATAATGATTATAAATGAAAAAAAAAGGTAATTTACTACAATTTACTATAATGCTTCCGTTTTTATGTCAAAAACGACAAGATTTTCGGCCAGGTATGGTGGCTCACGCCTGTAATCCTAGCACTCTGGGAGGCCGAGGCCGGCGGATTGCTCGAGTCGGGAGTTTGAAACCAGCCTGAGTAAGAGCAAGACCCATCTCACTATAAATAGAAAGAAATTAATTGGCCAACTAATATATATAGAAAATATTAGCCAGGCATGGTGGCGCATGCCTGTAGTTCCAGCTACTCGGGAGACTGAGGCAGCATGACTGCTTGAGCCCAGGAGATTGAGGTTGCTGTGAGCTAGGCTGACGCCATGGTACTCACTCTAGCCTGGGCAACAAAGCAAGACTCTTGTCTCAAAAAAAAAAAAAAAAAAAAAGACAAGATTTTCTACATAGCCCAAAACAGGTTTTCAAGAATAGATGGGCGTATACTGCCACCACGTGGTAAAAATAAATAAGACTTTTTTCCTAGGAAAGAATACAAGATGAATCAATAAAAATAAAATGGAAAGTTTGAGAGTAAATTTTTAGAGTAAAATGGAAATGTTGTTTTTCTTAATCACCAGTCCCAAACTTCCCAAAACTCAGAGACATGGCTAATAAATATCTTAGTTTCTGTTATTAAACACTATGGAGTTGTCATTATTACAGCTATTTTTAACACACGGGTGAGTTCCCTGGTCTTTTGGGTTTTTGTTTTTGGTTTTTTTGGTGACTAAGTTGAGAGCAGGGATGGAAAATTTTCCATGTTGGATGGAAAAGGTGTAATAGAAAATCTTCAGTCTATCATGCTTGGAGAACCAGAACACAGAGTTTAGGGAGATTGCAGCTACTCTAAAGTGATGAAATTTCAGACACATATTCATAGCTGCTGCAACCAGGGTTTCCTCTCCAACAGAGACCTGTCATTGCCTGGAGAACATGTGCATTTAACCTTGTATATAATGTTATATCCATTATGAATTACATATATAATATTCAAAATTGGAAACTATAATAAATATTTTAAAATTTCAGATTTTGGGTAGGGCATGGTGGTTAGTGCCTGTAATCCTAGCACTTTTTAGGCCAAGGAAAGTGGACCACTTGAGGCCAGGAATTTGAGAGCAGCCTTAGCTACATAGTGAAATGCCATCTCTACAAAAAATAAAAATAAAAAAATAGCCAGATGTGGTGGTGCACGCTTGTACTCTCAGCTACTCAGGAGGCTGAGGAAGGAGGATCATTTGAGCCTAGGGGTTGGATGCTGCAGTGAGCTATGATCATGCTACTGCACTCTAATCTGGGCAACAGAGCAAGCTCCTGTTGGAAGGGAAGGGGAGGGGAGGGGAGGAGAGGGGAGGGAAAGAAGCAGAAAAGAAAGGAAGAAAAGAAATGAAAGAAAGGGAGGGAGGGAGTGAAGAAAGGAAGAGAAGGGAGAAAAGAGAAAGAAATTAAGAAAGAAAGAAAAAAGAAAAAGAAAGAAAGAGAAAAAAAGGAAGGAAAGAAGGAAATTTCAGAGACAGCTAGAGAGGGGAAATTGAATTCTGAGGATTATTTCTGCCAAATCTCTGGCTGCCCTCTGAACAACACAAGAAGCAAAATGAATGATAAATGGACAGTAGCTCCAGCTCCCTTTCACATGACAAACAAGGCTAAACTGTAATGAAGAAGTGCAGCAGACTCTATTTGTAAACTATAACCTTAAGTGTTTTCATTCTAGATCGATGAAATCCTTGAAGAAAACCGGCTATCCCATTTCTAACTGTTACATGGTAGAATGAATCAATCTAGCACTATTTTTTTCTTAGCAGACTATAACTACATGAGAGTATTATAAGATATTTGGTCAATGCTATAACCAAGCTAATGATCAGTCCACCCTCCCATATAAACAAGTTATTAGTATGATAACCATATAATTTATCATCTAGATGGGGCACTTATGAAAATGAATGGGGTACTATTAATATTTACAAATCAGGAATAATGGGGACTGTTCTAGGCAAATCAGAACCTATGAATCATTCTAGTTAAAAGCCAAAAGCATCTTCCTTTTCTTCTTACCCATGGCACCTGCAAGAGATCCCCTGGAATATCCTGGCCTACTTTTCTTGTTTCTTGTCTAAATTCCTTGACAGAGTAATATAGAAATAGGGACTTAAATTACTAAATAAATTCTTATGTGCATATGCCTCATTTGAGTAATTATACAGCAATTTTCAGATATGGCCCATATTAGGATTTCAAAAACAGCTGATTATAAAAATGAGTTACAAGGACAAAATGCTCAACCACTGATTACAGGTCATTATCATAGACTTGTCAATTTTTTTTTTAACAGAGTCTCACTTTGTCACCTGGGCTTGAGTGCCATGGTGTCAGCCTAGTTTACAGGAACCTCAAAATCCTGGGCTCAAGTGATTCTCCTGCCTCAGCCTCCCGAGTAGCTGGGATTACAAGTGCATGCCACCATGCCTAGCTCATTTTTCTATTTAGTAGAAACTGGGTCTCATTCTTGCTCAGGCTGGTGGTGTACTCCTGACCTCAAGTGATCCTCCTGCCTTGACCTCCCAGAGTGCTAGATTTGCAGGCATGAGCCATGACACCCAGCCATTATCTTATCAATTTTTAAGATGACTACTTCCAATTTAATTTCCTTCCCTCTACTTATGAAGAATCAGAGCAGTCAGCATTCCTAATCCCATTTCTTGATCATTGACTTTTATATTCCTTATCACAAATCTTAAAAAACTCCTTACAGAAAAAGTTGGAGCTTCTTCCCACCTGTGATCAAAACCATACAAACCTCTGTCAGTTGCTTCAGTTGGTCTTTGTTTGTGCTTAATTCTTCTGCTAGATTATTCTTTTTCAGTTGTAGTTCACAGTTTTCCTTTCTTAATGGATTCACTAGTTCATAGAACCGAATCTTAAAAAAAGAAATCAAATTAATAAGCAGTCTTGAAATCCAAACTACAATTAAAATGTGCTAATTTGTAGTAGTCTCAATTATCAGAATAAAAAGATATATCTACAAAACTAAAACAAGACCGTCCTATGGACACTAACCACTAATACTTTATTAAAGTCTTAATGTTCAATTAAGTTACCTCAAGGGACAGATGATCTGTAACGTCCCACCCTTGACAGTTTCTTTTCTCTCTTCTATTGATACTCCTTACTACTTATTCCTCATCTCCTACTACTGCTTACTCCATACTATCTATTTGTAAATTTCCTGAACACATCAAGTATTCAAGAATCTTACTCTTGTTACCTCTACTAGAAAAGTTCTTCTCCCAATAAATGCATGGCTCATGCCTTATCTCCCTTCAGGTCTCTCATCAAATATCTCCTTACTGGTAAAGTCTCCCCTGATTTCCATACTCTGATTTAAAATAGTACTCTCTATCTTTCCTTCCTGCTCTTTTCTCCACAAAACTTATGACAAAAGACATTCTACATAATCAACTTTTAAGTTATTGTTTGTGTTGTTCAACTACAATGTAAGCTCCATGAGGCCAGGAATTTTTGTCTGGTTTGTACAATGTTCTATAACCAATGCCTAAATATATTATAAGCATTCAATAAATATTTGATGAAGAAATACAAGTTTGTTCATTATTCTCATCTCAGGCTCTTGGCAAAGCTCTACTAATTGCTGCCCTTCTGAAAGGCTAATCAGGATAAATCAGGAGTTCTCTTTCATATCATCACTTATATTCAGTTAGAATCTCTCTTTCTACTCATCATTTTTCAGAGGAATTTGCCTGCTCTAACTCAGTAAAGTATTCTATCTGATAAGGTTCCATAAAACTAAGAAGTCATCAGCAAATCATGAGAGAGTAATTAGGGACTATTTATTATACAGGCATATAATCTGAAACTCTTCATATATGACTATATTACAAGAGTACCATATCGGGCAAGAGGCAAATCTTAACATTAGCCCTCAACCCAATGAATCTGCAAATAATTAGTTAGGATAATATTGTCTGTGAAAACAAAAGATATAACAACGAATATTATCAAACCAGAGAGCAAAAATATGTATAATTGCCACCAGTGGTATTATATTTAATATCTCCCATGGATAAAGGCTCAATGACAGCACTTGAGAAATTTAATTTGTTTTGAACAGTACACTTTGGGCAGAAAAACTATATTGGACTATTTAAATAAAAAGCTGGACAAAAAAGTAACACTTCATTTTATAGGAAATCACTAATCTGGAAATCTTATCCCAATAATCAAGAATAGCAAAAACAATAGTAATACTTATGTGTTTACTATGTTCTAAGCACTGTGCTAATAAGCATTTTACATATATATTTATAATTAATCTTTACAATTGCCCCAATAGAAAGGCATAATTATTAAACCTTTTACAGATGAAAAAATTCAAGCTTCTTTGAGTGAAACGACATCTATATATTGAAAACCAGCAGTTCTCAACGTGTAGTTTGGGGACCGATGGCCTCTGCCTGACCCACCACTCTGAGACCTTTTCAGAGAATTCACAAGATCAAAACTACTTTCCTCATAATACTAAGACTTTTTTTTCCTGTTCTACTCTCATTCTCTCATGACTGTTCAGTGGAGTCTGCCGGTGACTACATGATAAATAATGACATCATCACTCTTAAGGCCAATGGAATGTATGATTACATATTCTTGTGTTTAAAAAATTTTTCAGTTTTAATTTCTAATATGGAAAATACTGATAAACATAGCCCATATGAACAGAAGTTTTTTGGGGTCCTCAATAATTTTTAGAGTATAAACAGATGCTGACACCAAAACATTTGAGACCACTGCCATAAAGTAATCCTACATGTAGATTTGTGTCACCAACACTATAATCAATATCATAAACTAATCTATCACCACGAAGCTATCCCTCATCCTATCCCTTTATAAACACCAACTCCAGTCTCCCTCACCATCCCTAACCAACCCCTGGCAACTACTAATCTGTGGTTTATCTCTATTAACTTTTCATTTTGAGAACATTATAAACTACAAGTTTATAATAAAATAATTCATTTCTATGCAGTCATTAACTTCAGAGCCCTATTTATTGACTTTGGAGATCAATGGTCAAGACCCTTTAAAATCTGGTGATATGAACCACACTCACCATCTTCAGATTGTGGCCATAAACTAACATATAAATTGGGTACTTCAAAAATAACAGTTACTAAAAAATGGCAAATTTTAGTCTGCAAATATGCTTTTTTTTAAGTGATACAAGACACTTACAGATACATATTCAGGAATAGAAAGCTGATCTTCAGGAAAAGCTTTCAGTTTCAGATATTGCTCTTCTGTCAAATCAAAGTCACGCAGGTTTCGACGAACATCTCCAGCTTTCTCCCTTAGCTGATGATTTGTCTCCTCTAGTTGTTTCTGTCTCAATAAAATGGTTTCCATTTCTTGTTTCATTAGTTCTTGATATTTTCTACATTAGGAGAGAATTTATGGCAAGTTTTAAAAAATCTTTGCGATTTAGTTTTCTCAAAGGTCCCTATATTATAGTACATAAAATTTGGAAATGAGAAGTCCAATAGTATTTTTGGCTCCAGCTAAATATTTATTTACTTAACCAGTTAAACATGAAATGACAACTCCTTACTAATTGCTAAATGTGTAGTCATTTAACTTATTAAACAGAGAAATGATATTCTTAAAGAATAATTTTACAAATTCAAATTATAAAATTATCCATTTCCTCTGCTTATGGTCTAAGTCAGGCGTCCTCCAACTATGGCCCACAGGCCACGTGCAGGTGTTTTTGCCCATTTGTTTTTTTTTACTTCAAAATAAGGTATGTGCAGTGTGCATAGGAATTTGTTCATACTTTTTTTAAAACTATAGTCTGGCCCTACAACGGTCTGAGGGACAGTGAACTGGCCCCCTGTTTAAAAAGTTTGAGGACCCCTGGTCTAAGTATTACACATCTGTTATTGATACTTTTATCTTTACTTTTACCCTGGTACTTCAAGGATATTTCTTTAAGATGGTAACACCAAACCACCATAAAATATTTATTCAACCAATGAGGTAATGAAACAATCTGCACATACTCATCATTCTCAAAGAATACATGTAGCGGACATTGTTATTGCTAGTTGCCTACTGAAAGATTTTAAACAGGAAGAGGACAATCTGATTTTTCCTCCTTCCTACTATAATTAATCCAAACAGACAAAGATGTTATTTCTGTCTTAAAACAAATGAACAAACAAAATCACAACTATTGACCCTATTGTACTTCCCAATTTGTTTGCTCCCCTGTGGAGCAAAACTGCTCAAAAGTTGTCTATATTCACTGTCTCCGAATCCTTTCCTCTTAAACCCATGCCAATCGGGTTTTTACTTCTCTGTTAAAATCTCAAGGTCACCAATGACATCCTGATTGCTAATGATCAATTCTTAGTTCATCTATGACCTAATGATAGCACCTGACATAAATGGTCTCTTTTTCCTTGATACACTTTCATCACTTGGCTTCCAAGACAACACAGTCTCTTCATTTTTCTCCTATTTTACTGTGGTACCTTCTCAGTCTCCCTTTCTGCCTTCTCTTAATGGTACTCTCTGTCAATATGCATTCACTTGGGGAATTTATCCAGTCTCATGACTTAAATACTGTCTATAACATAATGATCTCCAGATTTGTACTTCCCTCCAGACCAGTTTTCATTTACTGCCACATGGATTTCTAATAAGATAAGTCTAACTTAACACGTCCCAAGTTGAGCTCCTGTTCTCTACTCACTAACCTAGTCAACTGTGGTTTCCCCCATCTTAGCTGACAGTACTCCAGCTTTTCATGTATTCAGTACAAAAATTTTGGTGTGTTCCTGAGTCTTCCTTTTTTTCTTAAAGCATCAGGACATCCCATCAGCTCTGCTTCCAAAATATATTCAGAATGCATCCACTTTTTCCTACCATCAGCTATCAAGAGCATTATTGCAATTAGCCTCCTTACTGTGCTCTCAGCAGCATTATTCAATCTGGTCAATGTCTAAAGAATTAGAGTAAAAGCCCTATTATGAATGCAGTGGTTCTCCACATGTTACTCCTAAACCAGCAGCATCAGCATCACCTGGGAACCTGGCAAAAACGTAAATTCTCAGGACCTACCCAAAGTCAGAACCTCTGAGGGTAGAACCCAGTAATCTTGTTTTAACAAGCCCTCTAAGTGTTTCTGATGCATGCTAAAGTTTGAAATCCAGTGATCTGATATCAGCTACTATTAGGTCAGATCATTTTTCTAAAATATCAATTAATGATATTTTAAAAAGAGAAAAGATACTGACTTTACACATTTATCTCTAGCTAAAACAGAAATAAGTATTCACTTGCCACATTTTTTTTTTACATAGGGTTCAAATTTTTTAAATATAGAGGTTTGCTTTGTTTTTGTGTAAATCATTGTTCACAATTTCCAAGTTCAATTTCTTACAATGGCTGAAGAGCTTAAAACAACCTTTTGATACTCAGGAGTTGGTTTCATTGGAGACAATTTTTCCATGGACTGGTGGGGGGTGGGGACAGTGGTAGGATGGTTTTGGGATGATTCAGGCATATTACATTTACTGTGCATTTTATTTCTATTACAATTATGTTTCCATTTGCCACTCACTGATAGGGTTTTGATATGAGTCTGCAAGCAATTAATTTATTACAGTCTCTGTGCAGTCAAATATCTCTGCTAATGATAATCTGTATTTGTAGGCATTCCTGAGTGCTAGCATCACCACCTCAGCTCTACCTCAGATCATCAGGCATTACATTCTTATGGGGAGTGCACAACGTAGATCCTCACATGTGCAGTTTATGGTAGGGTTCACACTCCTGTGAGAATCTAATGCTGCCACTAATCTGACAGGATGATCATGATGATGCAAGTGATGGGCAGCGGTTGTAAACACAGGTGAAGCTTTGTTGGTTCACCCACCGCTCACCTCCTGCTATGCCTAACAGGCCATAGACCAGTAACGATCCAAGGCCCAGGGGTTTGGGACCCGAGCCTTAAAAGACACTTAGGGGCTGGGCACCATGGCTCACACCTGTAATCCTAGCACTCTCGTAGGCTAGGAGTTCCAAATGAGGCAGGGCAACAAAGTGAGACCTCATCTCTATGAAAAATTTTTTTAAAAATTAGCCAGGCATGGTGGTGTGCACCTGTACTTGGTGCTAGGTACTTGGACAGCTGAGGCAGGAGGATCGCTTGAACCCAGGAATTGGAGGGTGCAGTGAGCTATGATGATGCCACTGTACTCTAGGCCTGGGAAACACAGTGAGACCTTGTTTCAAAAAAAAGGACACTTAAGAATCTGAGATGATACTTTTTGTGGATTTGATTTCTGTCCCCAATCTTTAAACGTGTGTTGCATGCCCAGCCTAGAATCTTATTCCCTGCAAAACTAAGCTTCGTATATGAAGGAGAAATAAAGACATTCTCGACAAGCAAAGTCAGGGAATTCACCAAGACAAGACCAGCCCTACAAGAAGTACTCAAAACAGCGTTACACACGGAACACCATAATAAAAACTCACGATATAAAAAACAACCAAAACCCAAAGATTAAAGCGCAGATATTACAATGGCTCAAGAGAGAAATCAAAGCAACAACATCCAACCCAACAGAACGAACAGTAATCTACCTTACCTATCAGTTCTCTCAATAAATGTGAATGGCTTAAACTCTCAACTCAAGAGACATAGGCTGGCTGAATGGATAAGAAAATACAGGCCAAGTATATGCTGTCTTTAGGAAACACATCTAACCTGCAAGGATGCATACAGACTAAAAATAAAAGGGTGGAGATCAGTATTCCAGGCAAGTGGAAGCCAAAAGAAGGCTGGTGTGGCAGTTCTAATTTCAGACAATTTAGTTTTTAAACCAACAAAAATAGTGAAAGACAAAGAGGGTCATTATATAATGGTGAAGGGCATAGTTCAACAAGAAGAGATAACAATTTTAAATATATATGCACCCAACTTAGGTGCACCCAGATTCATAAAGCAAACCTTACTGGAGCTAAGCAAATGGATTAATAGCAACTCCATAATCACCAGAGATTTCAACACCCCACTGACGGCACAAGACAGATCCTCCAAACAGAAAATTAATAAAGAAATAATGGACCTAAACAAACTCTAGAACAACTGGGTCTGACTGACATTTACAGAACACTCTACCCAAAATCCACTGAATATACATTCTTCTTATCAGCTCACGGGACATTCTCTAAGATTGACCATATCCTAGGACACAAAGTAAACCTCAAGAAATTTAAAAAAATAGAATCATACCATGTATCTCTCAGATCACAGTGGAATAAAAGTAGAAATCAACCGTAACAGAAACTCATATTTCTACACAAAAACGTGGAAATTAAACAATCTCCTACTAAATGATACTTCATAATGAAGAAATCAAGATGGAAATAAAAAAAATTCTATGAAGAAAATGGCAATGAAGAGACAAGTTATCAAATCCTCTGAGAGGAAAGTTTATCTCCATAAATGCCTATATCCAAAAGACAAAAAGATCACAAATAGACAATCTAAAGAAATAACTCAAAGAGCTGGAAAAGAAGAACAGACCAGCCCAAACCAGCAGAAGAGTGAAAATCAACAAGATCAAATCAGAACTAACAAAATTGAAAACAGGAAGCTATTCAGAAGATTAACAAAACAAAAGTTGGTTCTTTGAAAAAATAACAAAATTGACACACACTGGCTAAGCTAACGAAAAGCAGAAAAGAGAAATCTCTAATAAGCTCCATCAGGAACAAAAAAAGAGATATCACAACTGATCCCAAAGAGATACAAGATATAATTTATGAGTACTACAAAAATCTTTCTTCACACAAACTGGAAAATGTGGAGGAAATGGACAAATTTCTAGAAATACACAGCCTCCCTAGGCTCAACCAGGAAGAAATAGATTCCCTGAACAGACTAATCTCAACAGCTGAATAGAAACAGCAATTAGAAATCTCCCTAAAAAGAAAAGTCCCGGTCCAGATGGTTTCACACCCGAATTTTACCACACTTAGAAAGAAGAACTAGTACCTATCTTGCAGAAACTATTCCACAACATCGAGAAGAACGGAAACTCCCCGCACCTTTATAAAGCGAATATACTCTGATACCAAAACCAGGAAAAGGATGCAACAACAACAAAAAACTACAGACCAATATCCCTAATGAATATAGATGTAAAATTTTCAACAAATCTTAGCTAACGACGATCCAGACGCTTATAAAAAAATAATCCTCACGACTAAGTGGGCTTCATCCCAGGGATGCAGGGATGGTTCAACATACATAAATCTATAAATGCAATTCACCACATAAACAGAAGAAAAAACAAGACCACATGATTTTCAATAGATCAGAAAAAGCTTTTGGACAAAATTCAACACCCTTTCCATGATACGAACACTTAAGAAAATAGGCATAGAAGGAACATACCTAAAAATGATACAAGCCATATATGACAGACGACAGCCAACATCATACTGAATGGAAAAACTGAAAGCATCCACTTAGAACTGGAACCAGACAAGCTTCCCACTATCTCCACTTCTATTCAACACAGTGCTGGAAGTACTGCTACAGCAATCAGACAGGAAAGTGGAATTAAAGGTATCAAATAGGGCAGAAGAGATCAAACTTTCACTGTTTGTGATGATATGATATTATATTAGAAAACCCCAAAGTTCAACAAGAAACTCCTGGAACTGATCAATGAATTTAGTAAAGTCTCAGGATACAAAATCAATACACAGAAATCAGAGGCATTCATATACGCCAACAACAATCTAATTGAGAACCAAATCAAAGACTCAATTCCCTTCACAATAGCAACAAAGAAATTAAAGTACCTAGGAATATACTTAACCAAGGACGTAAAAGACCTCTACAGGGAGAACTATGAAACACTGAGGAAGGAAATCCAGAGGATGTAAACAGATGAAATCCATTCCATGCTCGTGGATTGGCAGACTCACATCATCAAAATGTCTATATACTCCAAACTGATCTACAGATTCAATGCAATACCTATTAAAATCCATCAGCATTCTTTCACAGATATAGAAAAAATAATTTTACGCTTCGTATGGACCAAGAAGACCCCGAATATCAAGAACAATTCTAGGCACAAAAACAAATGGGAGGTATTAATATGCAGATATCAAACTATACTACAAAGCTGTAGTAATTAAAACAATCTGGTATTGGCACAAAAATAGGAATACTTAACCAGTGGAACAGATCTGAGAACCTGATATAAAACCATCCTCATATACCATCTAATCTTTGACAAAGTAGACAAAAACATACTCTGGGAAAAAATCCTTTTCAATAAATGGTGCTGGGAAAACTGGATAGCCACTTGTAGAAGGCTAAAGCAGAACCCACACCTTTCACTTCTCACAAAAATCAACTCACGCTGGATAACAGACTTAAACCTAAGGTATGAAACTATTAGAATTCTAGAGGAAAATGTTGGAAACACTCTCCTAGACGTCGGCCTAGGCAAAGAGTTTATGAAGAAGTCCCCAAAGGCAATCACAGCAGCAACAAAAATAAATAAATGGGACATGATCAAACTACAAAGCTTCTGCACAGCCAAAGAAATAGTCATAAAGGTAAACAGCCTACAGAATGGGAGAAAATTTTTGCATCCTACACATCCTATAAGGGGCTGATAACTAGAATCTACTTAGAACTCATGAAAAGCAGCAAGAAAAAATCAAATAACCCTATTAAAAAGTGGGCAAAGGACTTTAACAGAAACTTTTCTAAAGAAGACAGAAGAATGGCCAACAAGCATATGAAAAATGCTCAACATCTCTAATCATAAGGGAAATGCAAATCAAAACCACAATGAGATATCACTTAACTCCAGTGAGAATGGCCTTTATCAAAAAGTTTCCAAATAACAAATGCTGGCGTGGATGCGGAGAGAGAGGAACACCTCTTACAGCTGCGGACTGCAAACTAGTTCAACCTTTGTGGAAAGCAATATGGAGATACCTTAAAGCGATACAAGTGAATCTACCATTTGATCCAGCAATCCCATTACTAGGCATCTACCCAAAAGATCCAATGACACTCTACAAAAAAGACACCTGCACTCGAATGTTTATAGCAGCACAATTCATAATTGCAAGGCTGTGGAAACAGCCCAAGTGCCCATCAATCCAAATGGATTAATAAATGTGGTATATGTATCCATGAAGTACTATTTACTCTAAGAAACAACGGTGATATAGCACATTTATATTCCTGGTTAGAGCTGGAACCCATACTACTAAGTGAATATCTCAAGAATGGAAAAACAAGCACCATATATACTCACCAAGCAACGGTATTAACTGAGCAGCACCTAAGTGGACACATAGGTACTACAGTAATAGGGTATTGGGCAGGGGGGAGGGTGGTGGGTATATACATACATAATGAGTGAGATGTGCAACATCTGGGGGATGGTCATGCTGGGAAACTCAGACTTGTGGGGGGAGGGAGGGAAAGGGCATTTATTGAAACCTTAAAATCTGTACCCCCATAATATGCTGAAATAAAAAAAAATGTGTGTTGCTTACTTTTAATTTGATGATTATTTTGTTATTTTTATTGAATCATTCCAAAGAATTTCATTATGGTTTTTATAGAAATAACACATCCCTTTGTACTCACATTTCATTATTGACATATTAATAATTTTTTATCAAATTCCATAAGTATAATTGGTATAGGCATATTTGAGAGTTCAATAGACTCCTTTTTTTTTTCATTTATTATAACTCAAAGCAGTTGGGTTTTTCCATAAAGGTACTGGTTACAGATTTTATTTATTCTTTTTAAACTCAGATTTTAAAATTCTTTTATCTCAAGAGTTATTGGTTACTGTGGTTTTTTTTTTTCCTATGCATAAAATTCTTTTAAAAAAATTTTTTTTATTTCAGCATATTATGGGGGTACAAATGTTTAGGTTACATACATTGTCTTTGCCCCACCCAAGTCAGAGCTACAATAGACTCTTGATAAGCACACAACTGAGCTGGACGTATGCAGGTGTAATGGAACGTATTTCAAAACAGGAAACTCCAATGGGCCATAATAATCAATCAGTATGTTTTACAGAGTAAATGAAGAAAGGTTAATCCAGACAGCAAGTTAAGTTGTGGCCAGTTTAGAGTTTCTCCTGTCATCTACGGTTCATTTACATTGGCCAACGTTTGTCGAATGAATAATGAATTTTGAATTTTTTGTATACTGTATCAAGTAACTTACTTTTTTGTGGTCTGCATGTGAAAATTATTATCATTTTTGACTTAAAAATCTCTCTATTTTAGTTTACAATCACAAGCATGATAGGTAATGAAATTACTTTCAATTGCTAAATAGATACTATTGTTTTTTAAAAACTTTTCTTACCTGGCATCTTTCTGTTGAAAAGTCAATTGGCTGTCTAATCTCAATGTTAGTACCTGCTTCTGGTGAAGGGCATCATTAAGTTTCTCCTCCAATTCTTCAATCTTAATGAAGAGAAAGAGGTAGGGTATATGTTCAATTTTCAAATTTATGATAAAGAAAAACCTTCAGTTTGAAAAATAAAAATATCAAAAAAGAAACTTAAAAGAAACAGGCTAAAAATGGATACAGTTTTTCTTTGCAATGGTTGTGTCCATAAACTATAAGACTTCTACTCTGGTTTGAAACTGCTGCCTTATAAATTGTTTTTTGCCAGGCTGTCATTAAGACTGTTTTCTCCCCCTTAACCCACTCTCATTGAGAAGCTTACTGACAGCTGGAATTTCACATTAGTGCCTCACTCAGGTAATTACTTCCAGGCCAGACCCTGAATTTGTACTCCAGAGCCACATATCTGACCACTACACATATTCAATTGACCACCACAGACTACCACATGGGTAAAGGTATAAATATCCAAAATAAAACAATCAATGTCACCTAATCCTGTATTCCTTGTATCTCCCTAACCTCCAAGGAAAAAAAATCTGAGTTGTGTTTGATATGCTTAGTTCTCCCTCACTGCTTATTCTGATCAGACACTAATTATTTCTTGACTTCACTTAACAGTTGTCAAAACAGTATCATCCTTTTTCATACCCACTGAAAAGTCTTCAGTTAGACCTCTATCATCTCCTGCCTGGACTATTATAACAGTTCCCTCACTGGTTTCCCTGTCTCAGTTTTGTCAGCCTCCAAACCTATCTTCCTTTATCTTACCTTTAAAAAACAGCACCAAAAATTTACTTCCCCAGATTTAAATCCTTCAGAGGATCCTCACCGTGTTTGGAATAAATAGTAAACTTTGTGGCATAATACAGCAGTCCTTGATCTGACCCTTGCCAATCATTTCTTTTGTCACTATCTTAAGTGGAAACTGTTCCAGTCAAAATAAGTCCTTGCCATTCCCCAAATATGCTGTGCTTTCTCTTAAACTTTCATGTGCTTTGATTTTGCTCTTAGTTTATTTAGAAAATTCTTTACTCCCCTCTCTTTTCGACACAGGCAATTTTTGTTTGTCCTTTAAAATAGATGAATTTAACAGCCAATCCGTAATATATTCAAGTGACTTCCTCTTGCATTATCAAATTCCCCCTCTATTGGATCATTTCTATTATTAAGCAAAACAAGACTCCCTTTATCACATCACCCTTTTTGCTACATTACCACTTCTCTGCCCATTTTCAGAGCAAAACTTCAACAAGTTTTTCTCCCATACTATTTCAGTGAAACTATTCTTGTCAAAGTCCATAATGGCCTGTCCAGTGGTAATTTCTGCATATTTATCTTACTTGACAACAGTGATCTGATAGAACTGACCACTTCATTCTTTTTTGGCTTACATGATACTCCTGTGGTTTTCCTAACTCAAAGGACACTATTAGGCTCCCTAGGCTCCTTTGCTGAATTCTCTTCCTTTACCCCATTTTCTAAATGTTAGATTGTCTCTTGATGTTGGTTTATTGCCCTCTGTCCCCGTAGGCAATGTCATATAATCCCATGGCTTTAGGTACCACGTTATATTCTGATATTTCCTCTATCTGAGGAAATATATTCTGATATTTCCTCTATCTATCTGGAGTGTGTGTGTGTGTGAGAGAGAGAGATGGGCTATGCCCCTAAATCCTAATTGACAATTACATTTAGAAGTCTAACAGAAATCTAAATGTTCAAAACCAGAACCTACCTTTTACCTCCCTAATCAGTTTTCTCCCAGTCTTCCGCTTCTTAATAAATGGTCCCAATTAATGAAGCCAAAAATTTAGGAATCTTACATTATGTAATAGCCTCATAACTGTCTTCTGCATCTCCTTTATCTTCCCTTAGTCTATTATGTCAGTGCCATTTTGAATATAAAAATCAGGATAATGTAATTCCAACTGCCTAAAAATCTGTCAATGTCTTTTCTGACTATATAACCTAAACCAAGGTTTAATAAAAATGGTGATGGACCAAATCCAGCCATGTCCTGTTGCTGAACAGCCCAAGAGCTAAGAATGGGTTTTACATTTGTAAAGAAAGAAAGAAAACAAAAAAACCCAAACAAGAAAAATATACAACAGACCATATGTGGCCCACAATACATACAATATTTTCTGACTTGCCCTTTATATAGAAAGTTTGCTAACTCCTTATCTATTTTTTTTTTTTTTTACTTTGAGACGGAGTCTCACTCTGTTGCCCAGGCTAGACTGCTGTGGCATCAGCCTAGCTCACAGCAACTTCAAATTCCTAGACTCAAGCAATCCTACTGCCTCAGCCTCCTGCCCGCCTTGGCCTCCCACAGTGCTAGGATTATAGGTGTGAGCCATCATGCCTGGCCACTGACTCCTTATCTAAAGTAAAAAAACTCCTATTACTAAGTGACTTTGTCACATGACCTTGAGTATACCTTGTTTAATTGCTTTTTGATCAAGTCCCTCACTTGGATGTGATCTCCGTAAAATAAAGAGACTGTCATATTCACTGGTATATCCCCAGCAACATGTCTCAATCAGTATCTTTAATCAATAAAAAGTATACAATAGCCACATTTGTCATAAGCATTATTTTGCAAATCAAGAATACTGTTCTGGGCGAGTATCCCAAACCTGAAAATACAAAATCCAAAATGCTCCCAATCTGAGACTTCTCGAGGGTCAACATGACACTCAAAGGAAATGCTCATTATATTGTTCTAGATTTCAGATTTTAGTGTTGGGGATGCTCTACTGGTATAATGCAAATATTCCAAAATCTGAAAAAAAATCAAAAATCCAAAACACTTCTGGTCTCAAACATTTTAGATCAGCGATGCTCAACCTGTACCAAAAGGAAATAAATAAAACTCTTTTTTCAGAGTTTCAACTTTTATAAATTTAACTAACTTACAAATGAAGACCCTCACCTCAGTAACAAGCTGGGAAGATGTACTCTTCATTTCCCAGGTAATAAGGAACCCACAGACCTCTAATGAGAGACAAAGAGTTTTGGGCATTTAAAAATTGAAAGGTGGCCAGGTACAGTGGCTCATACCTGTATTTCTAGCACTTTGGAAGGCCAAGGTAGGAGGATCCAGGAGTTTGAGACCAGACTGAGCAAGAGCAAGACCCTTGTGTCTATTAAAAGTAGAAACATTAGCCAGGTGTCATGGCACACACTTGTAGTCCCAGCTACTCAGGAGGCTTAGGCAGGAGGATCACTTGAGCCCAGGAGTTTTGAGGTTGCAGTGAGTTATGATGATGCTACTACACTCTAGCCTGGGCAACAGAGCAGGATTGTCTCAAAAAAAAAAATTAAAAAAAAAAAGACAAGAAGAATGAAGCAGAAAGGAATAAAAAAAAGTCAAGTAAGGAAGGGGATTTAGGCAGTAATGAATGGGAATAAAAGTGTAAAGCTAACAATTCCCTAGTATCAAGAAGTTTGGCCTGAATAGCTGGTACCCTTCTAAGTTCTTTTACTGGACAACCAGTAAAAGATTCCTACTGATTAGGAAGTAGAAATCAATGCTTTGTAAGTTTTCGTGGACCAGTTCCCATTTTTAGACATGGAGAAATCAAATCAACATGGTCAAGACATTCATAGCAACAAACTATAATAAAGCCATGTGTCCATAAACATTTCTGTTGTAGCCATACTGAAGCAATTAGATTATATTCACATATTTTCTAACTAAAAAAATATCTTGATGTGTAGAAGAAAAAACTGTTATTTGCCCCAACATCAAATCTTCTTTTTTTTCTGACATACTCCTGGTTTTTATTAGTAACAATATGTCTGGTTAAAAACATATTTCCCAGCTTCCCATTCCTTGCAGGTAGGGGTGGTCATGCTACATAGATCTAGTTAATTGAGGTCACTAGCTTGAGCTTCTGGAAAAGCTCTTTAAAGGTGACTGACACATTTGTCACATGCTCCCTTTTCCTATGACCTTCTCCTTATTACTGTAACATGCACACAATGATTGGAGGCAGATCAGCCACCTTAAGATTTTAGGTGAAGAGTATATGCTAAAAATAGCTGAGCAGAAGATTATTATAAAAGGAACGTGGGTTCCTAATGGGATCAAAGAGTAATAAATCAGGTCTAAATTACCTATTTTCAGATTTTTGTTATACCAGAGAAACAAAATCCTTATCTTGCTTAAGCCATAGTTTCCATATCTGTTATCAGCCGCCACCATTATCCAAATCTCTGGTACTAACTGCTGAACTTAATCCCTGAAACCGTGGACAGCTGGTTCAATCAGTTTCCACAGCAGCTATACTATAATGCCCGTGACAGCTGACTATTTAGGACTACTCAAATGCTTCCAATGATAGGAAGCTCAGTAACTTAAAACTAGGCTATTTAAACGTTAATAACAATAAGAGGTTTACATTTAGCAGAAATCTATCTTTCCTGTGACTCCTAACCATTATCATGGAGCTCTAGTCTAGTGAGGAAAATTTATTTTTTGTGATGCTAGAGTATGATATTTTCATTTTTGTAGTCCCTATGCTCAATGCATCAGTAAACTTTAGCGAATGAATGATTAATTAAAAATACCATTCTTTCATCAATTCCAGACTCATAATTTCTTACATTTTAACATCTCTTGAATGAATTTTATAATCTATAGTGTATAACCGTTTCATGGGCATTTTATAGTCTCAGCAATACATGTAATGGTCTACATTACAATCAAGGTGCCTTAGATTCAATAAATTATGAAAGACTAATTCTTCTATGATATTTTTCCATATATTTGACAGCAAACATTTTATTCCTAAGGGGTCTTCAAGCAGAACATCCCTAGTGCTCATAAGATAGACAAAAAACTCTAGGAATATAGAGCAGGGAAGCTATTCTGGAAAGAATCTGGCAGTACATTTAGTTAAATTAAGTATAAATATGTATGTCAAATGTTCACAGAAATCCAGAAGAGAAATGTCTAAAGAAGCCTAATGGTGCATGTGGTGACAAAGAGCTGGAGGCAAACTGGGTGCCCATCACTGTGGGAATAGGTGGATAGATTGGTAGTATATAGAGAATTATGCAAGAGATGGAAGCAAAAGAGTAAATGTACACATAGTAACAAGATAATTTTTAAAATAGTGCTGAGTAGAAAAAAAGAGATGAGAACTAAAACAAAACATATAGTTTACATTTCTGTAAAGAAAATTAAAATTTCCACTCTTAAGAATACATGCTGGCCTGTCGTGGTGGCTAGCACTTAGAGGCCCAGGCAGTGGATCGCTCAAGATCAGGAGTTCAAAACCAGCCTGAGCAAGAGTGAGACCCATCTCTACTATAAATAGAAAGAAATTAACTGGCCAACTAAAAATATATAGAAAAAATTAGCTGGGCATGGTGGCGCGTGCCTGTAGTCCCAGCTACAAGGAAGGCTGAGGCAGAAGGACTGCTTGAGCCAAGGAGTTTGAGGTTGCTGTGAGCTAGGCTGACGCCATGACATTCTACCCTGGATAAACAGTGAGACTCTGTCTCAAAATAAATAAATAAAAGAATAGATGCAAACAAATAGATAAACATTAAAATGGTCCCATAGAGAAAGGCAGGAAGAGAAATGAGCTATGGGAATGAAAAGAATATATTAGAAAAACAGTAACACTTCAAGGATCAATGATAATTATGTGTCACGAACTAAGGAATATCACTAATTTAATCTTCTACAATTTCAGTCCAACTAGAAAACCAACCATTAAACAACTAACCCATGGGTATACAAACTACATATATTGAATAATGTAGCACTTTATTCAAAATATTATTTTATTTAAATAATATGTAATAATACTTATTTATTTTCTTCTAAATATTAATTGCTCTCAAGAATTGAATACTTATTTTTTTCAGGATTGAATTAAATATAAGTTAATAGGAATGTGTTCTGACAAGCTGCTAATTCAATTTTTATCCTATATTGTTTTGTCTTCTTAGTTCTCCTCTATTATCCAGTTATGTAGGTATATATAGTGTGTTTTATCACTCTCTCTGCACAATCCAAGTTGAAAATATAAATTGTGTTGGGTGGTTATATATACAACTTTGTTTTGTTGTATTTAATCATGGTTTATTTTTTTTTTTGTAGAGTATGGGTGTCTTGCCTTTGTACTTCAGGCTGGTCTCAAACTCCGGTGTCAAGCTATCATCTCACTCTCATCTCCCAAAGTGATGGAATTACAAATGTGAGCCACCATGCCTGGCTAATAAAATATCCATTGACTGAGTAGATGGTTTAATGAACGGGAGATAACTTCTTCAATGCATCCATTAAAGGAGATCTTAAGAAGTGGAGATATATGAGCCAGTAGCATTGTGGGAGTCCATTTGAGGAATAAAAGCAATATGAGTAAGGAAATAGGGATGGGAAATCACTGGATGCATTGAGGTAGGTGACTGTATAGGGTACCTAAAAGGAAGTGTTTGGAGATTTACTTGTAAAAATTATGGGCTTTAGACTTCCTAGATTTGAAGCCTACTTGGTTCCATCACTTCATTCTGAATGACCTTGGGTATGCTATTAACCACCCTGTGGTTTTGTTCCATCAGAGCAAAAAAAATCATTTATTTAAGAAATAGTTGAGGCCGGGCGTGGTGGCTCACGCCTGTAATCCTAGCACTCTGGGAGGCCGAGGCAGGCGGATGCTCGAGGTCAGGAGTTCGAAACAGCCTAAGCAAAGAGCGAGAACCCCGTCTCTACTATAAACAGAAAGAAATTAATTGGCCAATTAATATATATAGAAAAAAATTAGCTGGCCATGGTGGCGCATACCTGTAGTCCCAGCTGCTTGGGAGGCTGAGACAGCAGGATTGCTTGAGCCCAGGAATTTGAGGTTGCTGTTAGCTAGGCTGACACCACAGCACTCACTCTAGCCTGGGCAACAAAGTGAGACTGTCTCAAAAAAAAAAAAGAAATAGTTGAGCATTTGCTATGAGTCAGGCACTATTCTAAGTGCTGGAGACATAACCATGTATACAAAGGTCCTCATGGACCTCATAGCCTACCCAAAGAGACAAATACCAAACAAAGTCAGGTAGTCCTATGGCCATATATAAGGCACAGAAAACAAAGGGAGTTAAAAATGGCAGGATACTATTTTAGTTGAAATAGCAGCTACTACCTGTTGTGTGCTTGTTTGTGTACCCCCCAAATTAATGTATTGAAACCTAATCACTAATATGATAGTATTAGGAGGTGGGCCCTTTGGGAGATGATTAGGTTATAAGGGTAGAGCCCTCATGATTGGAATTAGTACCCTCATAAAAGAGACCCCAGAGAACTAGGTCACACAGCAAGAAGTGTGCAACCTGGAAGAGAGCCCTCACCAGATCTGACCATATTAGCACCACAATCTTGGACTTCCCTTCCTCCAGATTTGTGCAAAAATAAATTTCTGTTTAAAAGTTATCCAGTCTATGGTGTTTTGTTACAGCAGACCAAGTGGACTAAGATACTAAGTAACAGGTACTAGTCTAACTTACTTTGTTTATTCATTTGATACGATTAGTCAGGGAAAACCCTCCTTCCCCCAAAGTAGCTAGATCTCAAAGGGTTTTTGTGAGGCTTAAATGAGACAACACATAAAAGGTTCTTGGAACAACATCTGGCATAGCATAAGCACTCGATAAATGTTAGCCATTAATATTCTGAAAAAAATTACTTAAACTATTTCTTTGCTTCATCAAGATTGAGGTTGGGCTTTCTTATTTTCACAGAGAGGCACAGTCAAGAAATTTTCTAGTGACAGAATACTGAAGTATGTTAGCATACATAGGCAAGAGCTAAAATAGGAGATTGACTTAACAAGAAAGAGGAATAATGAAAGAACAAATGCGGAGGTATAAAGAGCTGGGACCAAGAGCTAGAGGGTTTACCATTGGAAAGAAAAGATTTTCTCAGTGACACAAATAGCTAGAGGAAATAACTCTCCTATCTTTCTGAAATCACTGTAAATTTCTCATAGCTAGTGACAACTTTACAAAGTCTTACATAATAAAATACTCTGCAAAGTGCAACTAACCACACAAGGAAGAAAAATAACAGCTAGGACATCTCTTCTTATTTGCATGGCAAACACCATTTACTAAAGACTACGGTACTTGAATTTATACATACTACTATGAGAAAGTAACTATCAAATAGATAGACACAGTAGCAAAAAGAAGGGTACCTAAGAAAACAAATCTCCACCAGGGCAGAGGACACTATAGAGTTAATATAATTATGATTTTGATTCTCCCTATCAAACTAGTCATATCGGAGTTAGTTCTTGGTGAAACACAAAACAACTTGGCTAAAAAGTACACCTAAAAGATACCTTGCACATCCTAGACTTTTACAATTAAGCCTACAGAAGTAATTGATTGCTGCTCACCTTTAAATAATCCTATCTTTCAATATTCAAATTATCATTATTTTTTTAAGTTGACATAAAATTGTATTTATCATATACACCATAATGTCTTGAAGCATATGCACTTTGTGGAATGGTTAAATTTAGCTCATTAACAAATGCATTACTTCACAGTTCCCATTTTTGTATTGAGAACATTTAACATCCACTCTGTTTTTCAAAAATGCAATGTTTTCCAAGAATACAGTATGTCATTAACTACAGTCACCATGTACAACAGATCTCTTGAACTTACTTATCCTATCTAAATGTAATTACATACCCTTTTACCAACATCTCCCCAATCTCTCTTCCCCCTCTAACCATCCTAACTCTGTTAACCACCATTCTACTCTTTAATTCCATGAATACTCAAATTATTTCAAGGCTGTTCTGGTCAAGAAGTATAAACATATCATTTCAAGTTCAGATAACACACACACACACACACACACACTCACACACACATATAAATTTAATTCTTATTTATCTGCAGCTTGAAGACAACAAAGCATATAAAAAACAAGATTTACACCTGTTCTTACCTTTGTAAGATAATCCACTTTCAAATTGTCGATCATCATATTTTTCTGGGATAGCTCTATTTTTAGTAACTGAATATTATGAAGTAGCTCTTTTCTTTCAATTAGCTGCCTGGTGATTTTGACTCTACCCTCTCGCTCTTCTGATGAGGAAATATCATCTGTAGGAATTGTTGTTTCTAAGCTAATATCTTCAGATTCCAGAGAACTAGAGATGTTCACTTTTTTCGACTCCTTTGAAATTTTTCGAGACATTTTTATTATGGGTCAGTTTTCTTCTCTAATTCTATGTTATCTTCTGTAGATTAAAAAACATTAATTTAAATGTACATTTTATAAAATGAACTAGAAATCATAGACTGTATTCAAGAGGTACTAAGGATTCCCTAATTATTAGGCAGTTTGGGGGACCCCAAACTTAGGACAGATAACTACAGTACATTACTGCTCAAATCAAACATACACTCATTAAATCCTACTACGATCTCAGCCCTTTGATGATTTTTAAAAAATGGTGTAGGGGAGGGGCAGGAATCCTATTTGAAGGAAACAAAGAAATGTAGAAGATAACAAATAAAGCCCATCAGTACCCAAGAATGCCACTAATAAAAGCAACTCATGTTCAAAGATAAATCATTTCTTAGTTGGTCAGGGGAAGGTTATACAGAGGTAGGAATTAGAATATTGAAGGGTTTGTACAGGCATAGTAAAAAAGGGGAAATCATGCAGATACAGCAGTGGAAGAAGTGTGAAAACTACAGAGGAAGTGAATGTTAGTTTGGCTGGGGCCAAGTCTTTGTGAATTTGAATAGTGACTGCGCCAACCCCCAACCCCCAAACACACACACACACACACACACACACACACACATACCCACCCACTTAAAGATCAAGACTAGAGGTCCTTAAATGTCAAAATGTGTTCGGATTTTATTCTACAGGCAATAAGCCATCAATGAAGATTTTTGGGAAACAGTTACACAGTTACACAGAAACATTGTTTATAGACTAGCTAAATAGCAGAAACAAGAGGGTAGGAGAGAAAAACTCAAGTATTCTAAATAGAACTTCCTACCCTGTCACAAGAATTTTAGCAACTACCTTGTTTTAATACTACACGATATAAGGAATTATTTATGGAATTGTATATTTCAGGTTTTCTAAACGGAATGATTAGGAAAGAGGTGTGTGGAGGGGAAACAGTAAGACCTACAGTAGATGGACCTCCCTCCTTTTTAAAGAGAAAGGGGAAAGAAAAGGCGAAATCAAAGACAGACCCTCTCCTGGACTACAAAGGATCAGAGACTACAACTGCCCATACCCTCGGCGTTAAGAATTCAGTCCCAAACTTGGCAGCTTCGGAGGATTCCTCGACCGCGCGGGAAAGAAAGGCGGAGAGTCGAAAGCTTCAATTACTCTACATCGAAGGGTGGACCAGCCGCCACGGCAGACACTGCGAGGGACCAGAGGCGTCTCCAGTTAGCAACTCAGGTTGCAGCCCCTAGACAAGAGATCTCAGGGCTAGGGACCGTTAGGACCCGTAACCAAGACAACCATTTCCACACTCGGAGGAGCTCGGAAGAAGAGGCAGCGTGCAGTCGCCCTCGCCGCCGGAACTCTGCTCTCCCGGACCGCAGGCGCAGGAGCGACGCACGCTGGGAGACGGAGTCCAGAGACGAGCCCCGCCCAGGCCGCGGGCGGAAATGGCTCGAGGCTAAGCTCCTCCCTCGCTCTTGCCCAATCCTCGCGACTGTCAGAGAGCCAACCAACGTCAGTCTCGGCGTTTTCCCGCGAGAGGTGCTCGCTGATATCCTGGAGCGGGAAGGAGCGAACCTCCGGGTGTGGTATAGTTGTGCGAGAGGCCGGTTAGCTTGAAGCCTTTCGCCGGAAGAGTGCCTACCGGGGTTGGGATTCTGAGCCAGGAGGCAAGATGCTCAAGTCCAAGACGTTCTTAAAAAAGACCCGGGCGGGCGGTGTGATGAAGATCGTGCGTGAGCACTACCTGCGGGACGACATCGGCTGCGGGGCGCCCGGGTGCGCGGCGTGCGGCGGGGCGCACGAGGGGCCGGCCCTGGAGCCGCAGCCCCAGGACCCGGCCAGTAGCCTCTGCCCGCGACCGCACTACTTGTTGCCTGACACCAACGTGTTACTGCACCAGGTGCGTCGGCGGGCGGACGAACCGCGGACAGAGCGGCCCCAGGACCAGGGGGTGTGACATACAGGGAAACTGAGGCCCAGGGCGGCGGGTCTTTGGCAGTATCAGATACCTAGGGAGAAGCAAACCCCATCGGGACCTAACCTTCCTGTTCCCCAGGCCGACGTTCTTTTCCTTGCACTGTTTCATTCAGTTCTTGGAGTCGTATTTTAGACACGTTAATTTTCTAACTCCTGGTGTCTTTTTTGCCTTAGATTGTAAGTGCCTGGAGGCCGGGGACCTGGGCTTCTGTGGCCTCCAGCCTGCGACTCCCAGGCAGCTTGTAAGTGCCTGCGAATGAAAACTATGTGGGCCAACGTTTTTCTTTATTAATAACCTTGGTTCTACGAAGTTTTGTGATTGGTTTGTTTAAGTGTGCTCTACTGTAGTAGACCTGAAGGGTTGAGTGACTATTGTCACTTTTTCTGGAGCCAAATAGCTCCTTGGCTTAATGCATATTTAGCGTTTTTAAACTGTTTGACAGAAACACTATACAAGTGAATGTAGAAAAAATTGATCTTTCCTTCCTTCTTTCTTTCAAGATTGATGTTCTTGAGGACCCTGCCATCAGGAATGTAATTGTATTACAAACAGTTCTCCAAGAAGTGAGAAATCGGAGTGCCCCTGTGTATAAACGGATACGAGATGTGACAAATAACCGAGAGAAGCATTTCTATACGTTCACTAATGAGCATCACAGGTAACTTGTTAGATCAGCTACATTTGGGAGAGGGATCCTGGGAGTAATTTGTGACATTCTCAGAAGTTAAGCAATAGATTTCTTAAGTTTGTTTTAAAACAGCTGTACAGAAGATAATGCTAAGGGGAACTCACTAAGGTCACACAAGCATTGATGGAATCAAGCTTAGAAACAAGGGCTGCTAACTCTTAGGCCCCAGTCAGAACTTTTGTTTCCAAAATGTTTTTATTTGGAATTGGTGTTATATGAGTTGAACAATAGAATCTTGGAAGATGAGATTTGCCTACATTCCTATATCATATTATGTGAATAACCAACATAAGTAATAAAAGGTGTGAGTTTGTGAAAGAGTGGTTTAAAAATATAAAGCAGATTTATTCTTAATGGGCTTTTAAAAGTTTAAACTATTACCTTACAACTGATTACATTGAGGAAGATTAGATTAAGAAATAGAATTTTTTGTTTCAGGTTCACAACCATTTTTGAACTTAATTGCACGGTCTTAGAAAATATGATATTGCATATTATGTTGCATAAATAATCTGTGATGGGTATCTGTGATGCTTTTATTAAATTAGATCAAGGTTTCTTAACTTTGGCATTATTGATATTTGGGGCTGATATTTGGGGCTCACAACAAAGAAATCTTTGTTGTGAGAAGGCTGTCTTAAACACTAGGATGTTTTAGCAGCATCTCTGGCCTCTACCTAGTAGCAACCGGCCCCCCTCCTCTTACGGAGTTATAATGACCCAAAATGTCTCTAGACATTGCCCAGTGTCCCCTCGGGGCAAATTTACCCTAAAAACCATTGGATTAGACTGCAGAATTCTGGTAATGCAGTCTGATCTATCAGATTATGCAAATTAAGAAAACCTTAATTTCTCAAATACCTCTTCTGTGTTCTTGTATCTCAGGCTTAAATATTATACTTGTAAAGAATACCAGTAAAGCACTTACAGACTTCTTATTCCTGGCACCCCCATGAAATCCAGAAATAGAAACATTACTTGTTTTTCAGTGCAGAAAGACCAGCTTTTTGGAGCATGATCATCAGATTCCTAACCAGGGGTTAGCAATTTTGTTAGCTCAAATGCAGTGAATACGCCTTAGCAATATTGGGGTTTATGGGAAGACTCTTAGGACATTTAGGCAAATCTCATTTAAATTTTATTACTCAAGTCTTGTTATAACCAATTCAAAAATTTATGACTATATCTTTCACTAATAAGCTTAAAAACATTAGCAAGTACATTCAATGATGAAGAATAAAATAATTCTAAAACTATTAATATAAATCAATCTAAAATTCTAAAATTGAATCTCTTGTTAGTACTAGAAGCTATTGTACTGAATTTTGCTATTATACTTAAATCTGGCTTTGAAGAACAGATTTAAAGAAATAGATAAATGCGTTGATACATTTGGGAGTTCAGAGTGGATAAACTTAAAAAGAGTATTTTGCCATCATATCTATATCTGGTCTTTCAGTCTCTAGATAGCTTCTGCCATTTATGTTTACCATGGATAATTTATATGCCCTATGCATTTAATGACTATAGAATCATGTGATCATAAATCATCTAATCATACTATTTGTAGTGTTTAGGAATTGGTGTTAATCTACAGTTCGAATGAAATCTTATTATCAGACCTGTAAAGTTTTATTATAGTTTATTTCAACAAACTGTTATTTATTGTCTCAGCCTAAAGTATAAATTCTGATCTTGAATTTTTTGTTTTTGTAAAATAAAATTGCATTAGCCTTTTTATTGTCCCATTAATAACATGATATTTTTCTTTTCTAAGCAATTATTTTCTTAAAAACTTATGGGTCCTACTTATTTCTTCTCTGAGGTATAAATCTGAATACATTCAAGAGAAGTATATGCCATTGACTTCAGTTTAGCGTTTCCTAAGCATTTGTGTCCTAAGAATTTTTACATATCCTTGTTTCTATTGATTTCCTCTTATTCAATTTTTTTTTTACTTTACATTTAGAGAAACCTATGTGGAACAAGAGCAGGGAGAAAATGCAAATGACAGGAATGATAGAGCCATTCGAGTAGCAGCAAAATGGTACAATGAACATTTGAAAAATGTATCAGCAGAGAACCAGCTGCAAGTTATTTTCATAACAAATGACAGGAAAAACAAAGAGAAAGCTGTAGAAGAAGGAATTCCAGCTTTTACTTGTAAGTCTAAATGTGTTATAGAAGCAATTAGTGCATATGTACAAATGCATATAAAAACTATTATCAGGCCTGTGGTCAGATGTTCAGTGTATATTTAATATTTTCATAGTTCTGTATAACTTCATGTGATATTTTTGCATTTTTTAATTTCTCAGAGTTTTTAAGCTAAATAAGTTGTGGTGCCCAGTGACTGTTAATTTTCCCCTCACCATTTATTTGCAATTGTTTTAGCAATAAAAGCTTAAAGATACACTGGACTCATTACCTCTGCTTAGGCATGATCACATCAACAGATTTTTGTTTTTAAAAAAATTGACAAATAAGATTATCCATGTTCTTTTATACCTAAGGAAAAAAAAAGTGCTTGAATTTATCAAGACAAATGTAAACTGATTTTTCAGGTGAAGAATATGTAAAGAGCCTAACTGCCAACCCTGAACTCATAGATCGTCTTGCTTGTTTGTCTGATGAAGGGGTATGTTTGAGTTTGTTTTATTTTCTTTTAGAAAAGCAAAAATATTAAAATAGGCACTTTGGGATATTAGGTTTATAGTTACCAAATTTAAAAACTGGAATATCAGTGGATAAGCTGGAATTGGAAAAGGTATGACTTTCTAAAGTAGATATATCCCCACAACCTGAGTAGCACCTGGCACGTTGTGGCACTATTTGGTTGATGAAAAAAATAATGGAATCCATGCCTGATTTATGAATAAGTGGTAGCTGTTTGACAAAGAAGTGGCTGACAATGCAGATACAGAGCATAAAACCCAAAGGAAGAGAGAGGGGAGTCATAAGATGAGGTAGAACAGAACAGATAATGAGTACCTAGAATTTATTCTATATGTAGGTTAGTAATTTTTCAAGTATCTTATAAAAATCTCCCTAAAGGGCTGCTATGAAGAGAAGAAAATAGCAGATAGAATTCTGGTTCCCTACCTCATATGGTAGGGTAAGAGAAATAAAGAGTGTGTGAATATGGGTGGTGGGAGCAGGGGATGATGATTAGAAATGGCATTATTGTATTTCCTAAGACCACTCTAATGTCAGTGTGTAAGGTGATGCATTTTATTAACGGAAGATAGAGGCAGAGAGGCTTATAAAGGGGTCACTGCACTAGCCGATACGAGGAGTGCTAAGGGAATAATTAAACCCTGAGCCTTCATTTCCTCATATATAAAGTGGTATAACAATGACTTCACAGCATTGTTGTTAGGATCAAATGAGATAATGGCATTAATACAACTCTCATTTCAGCCTGACACATAGCTATGGTAAACGTAAATGGTAGCTTTTGTTATAGAAATAGGTTTTATGTAATAGGACATTGTATGTAAATCCAGTCTTTACAGCATTTCTCTCATCCCTGCTTACCTTTGACCACCTACTTTATGAAATCAAAAGGAAATGAGGCCGGGCGTGGTGGTTCACGCCTGTAATCCTAGCACTCTGGAAGGCTGAGATGGGCGGATTGCTCGAGGTCAGGAGTTCGAATCCAGCCTGAGCAAGAGCGAGACCCCATCTCTACTATAAATAGAAAGAAATTAATTGGCCAACTAATATACATAGAAAAAATTAGCCGGGCATGGTGGTGCATGCCTGTAGTCCCAGCTACTCGGGAGGCTGAGGCAGCAAGATTGCTTGAGCCCAGGAGTTTGAGGTTGCTATGAGCTAGGCTGATGCCATGGCACTCACTCTAGCCTGGGCAACAAAGAAAAAAAAAAATGGAAATGAGAAGATAAAAGTTGGACTTGATTTTTTAAATACAGATTTAGGATTGCCCTGCCTAATATGCAGCCACTTAGTTGTGTTTAGCTGTTTAAATTTACTATATATTAATAGTTCAGTTTCTCAGTGGTACTGTCCATCTTCCAAGTACTTAAGAGAAACTTATGCCTAGTGGCTACCATATTAGACATCACAAAAAATATTTCCTTTATCATAGAAAGTTGTTTTGGTTATTCTCGTCTAGAAGAAACACTGTGCTATATCTCAAATTCATAGAGTTGTATATACCATAATATAGATTTTAAAAATTACCTGATATTGGTGATAGTTGTATATTGAACAAATAGAAGATTTAGTGACTGTATCTTTTGGTTTTCTTATTTCATAGAATGAAATAGAAAGTGGAAAAGTAATATTTACAGAACATCTTCCCTTAAGTAAGCTACAGCAAGGCATAAAATCTGGTACATATCTTCAAGGAACATTTAGAGCCAGCAGGGAAAATTACTTAGAAGCTACTGTATGGATTCATGGAGACAGTGAAGAAAATAAAGAGGCAAGTGTGTAAATAAGTTCCTTATACACTAAACTACTTTTTAAAAATAAGTGTTTAAAATTTTATAGGAGAACTTAAATATGCTTCATTTTCTCAGTTTATCTGCTTGAAGGCAATTATACAGGAGATTATAGATACTAGTAGAATTAATCACTTTTAGAAAACTACTTAGTGAAGAAAACAACTGTTTATTATTAGTCTACTTTAAAGAGCATAAAAATCTGGTCCTTCAAATAATAAAACATTAGATGCTATTTTGTATACTATGACCAGTTATGGTAAATACTGCTTGCATAGCATATGCAGAAGCTTCACACCCTTTAAAGCAAATAGCAACCATTTTTTGCCAGGTATTCTTCTCTTTACATTCATCATTCCATTTAATATTCAACCCAACCTATAAAAGTAGGTTAGTGTATTATTTTTTTCATTTTACCAATGAAGGCCCTGAGACTTAGAGAATTTAAGTAATTTTCCCAAAGTCTCTTGGTATGATTATAAATTATGAGGGAACCATGAACACAAAATGTATTTTCTGACCCATGATTTTTCTGCTTGACATTGAGAAATTAAGCGTATAGGATTAAGGAAGACTGTAAAGAAAGAAAAAAATATAAAAGAAGAAATAGAGATTACACAGAGACATTCAGAGTATATATAAACTTCTGTACGTGACCTTCCCACTGTTATATTGCCACTAAAAATATTTGCACATGCCATCTGTTGTTTAAAATAGATAATCATACAAGGACTTAAACATTTAAACCGAGCTATTCATGAAGATATTGTGGCTGTGGAGCTTTTCCCCAAGAGTCAGTGGGTAGCACCATCTTCTGTTGTTTTACATGATGAAGGTCTAAATGAAGATGATGTGGAGAAAGAAGAGGAGAAAGAACAAATGGTATGAAACCAAACAGGTTTTATTTTTTGTCTGTATAGTTTGTATTATTAGGTAATCTGTCAACTTTGGGGAAAGTTAAGTCTTCTTGCTTTCATATTGATTGAATGAAATTATAGTTCTGTAGGTTTAACACAGAATTGATTTTTTCCCCCTTCTAAGTATTTAAGTTTTCTTTTAAATTAATGTCTTAATTTGTTCAAATAAATGGGTTTAAATACAAAAAGACTTAATTTGAGCATGAAGCTGGAAATATATGACATTCAAGTATGTGATCTAAGTGAGGTTTAAGTAAATATAAATTTTTTTTTTTTTTTTTTTTTGAGACAGAGTCTCACTTTGTTGCCCAGACTAGAGTGAGTGCCGTGGCGTCAGCCTGGCTCACAACAACCTCAGTCTCCGGGGCTCAGCGATCCTACTGCCTCAGCCTCCCAAGTAGCTGGGACTACAGGCATGCGCCACTATGCCCGGCTAATTTTTTGTATATATATTTTTTAGTTGGTCAATTAATTTATTTCTATTTTTGGTAGAGACAGGGTCTCGCTCAGGCTGGTTTCGAACTCCTGACCTTGAGCAATCCGCCCGCCTCGGCCTCCCAAAGTGCTAGGATTACAGGCGTGAGCCACCACGCCCAGCCAAGTAAATATAAATTTAAAAGTTTCTAAAATGCTTTATGTAATGTTAAAATTCCCCAACATAATATACGGTAGGGTAAAAGAAATTAAGAGTGTGTGAGGGCCCTTTCATTTGGGCAGGTTGAATTATTCCTTCTCTGTTGCTATATATATTATGAAGAGAATGTTTTCAATTATTTCTTAGATAATTTTTCTTTTTTTTTTTTTTTAAGAAAGGGTCTTGCTCTGTTGCCCCAGGCGAGGATGCAGTGGCATGATCATAGTTCACTGTACTCTCGAATTCCTGAGGTCAAATGATTCTGCTACTTCAGCCTTCCAAGTAGCTGGGATTGTAGGCACACACCACCATGCCCAGCTAATTTTTAATTTTCTGTAGAGATGAGATCTTACTATGATGCCTAGCCTGTTCTTGAACTCTTGACCTCAAGCAATTATCCTGCCTTTGCCTCCCAAAATGCTGGGATTATAGGTGTGAGCCATCATGCCTGGTCCTTCCTGCTATTTCTAGTAGCATACGCTTTTTTTTTTTTTTTTTTTGAGGCAGAGTCTCACTTTGTTGCCAGGCTAGAGTGAGTGCCGTGGTGTCAGCCTAGCTCACAGCAACCTCAAACTCCTGGGCTCAAGCAATCTTCCTGCCTCAGCCTCCCGAGTAGCTGGGACTACAGGCATGCGCCACCATGCCCGGCTAATTTTTTCTATGTATATTAGTTGGCCAATTAATTTCTTTTTTATTTATAGTAGAGTCGAGGTCTTGCTCTTGCTCAGGCTGGTTTCAAACTCCTGACCTTGAGCAATCCGCCCGCCTCGGCCTCCCAGAGTGCTAGGATTACAGGCGTGAGCCACCACACCCGGCCAGTATATGCTTTTTATTTGTATTTTTGTTTTGGATAAAGAAGAATATTTGAAGGTACTTATCTTTTTTAATGAATTTATAAAGGTCCAAAGGGAGCTAATTAATGCAAACTAGTACTAAAATCCTAGTCTACTAATTCCCAGACCCGTGTGTGTGTGTGTGTGTGTGTGTGTGTGTGTGTTTTAGTTGGTAAATCCTCATATTAAATCTGAGTTCTGACATATTTATTCAGTTATATTTATTTTTTCTTTGCTTTTTGATTTTTTTTGTGGTTATTATGGAACAATTTCCATGGTTTGGTTTAGCATGTTCGTGTCTAGAATTTTGAATCATCAACATTCTGTAGTTTTATGTCATAATTTACTGCCTGAATATATTATCATTCATGTACATATTCTGATTTTGAAGTGAAATTGCCTCATTATACTTAGAGGAAAAATAACTGAAGATTTTTATTTTTATATCTCAGCTTAAGACTGCTGTAAGTGAAAAAATGTTAAAGCCTACAGGTAGAGTTGTAGGAATAATAAAAAGGAATTGGCGACCATATTGTGGCATGCTTTCCAAGTCTGGTATCAAGGAGGTGAGTAAAGAGCACGTTGCTTTGTAATAAAAAATGATAAAACATTTTTTTAAGCTTATTTTCGTCTAGAACCACTTTATTTATTGTAACTCAGTTCTAACAGAGGATGTCACTACAAAAATGCTAAACGGTAGAACAAAGGCAGCTCACAAAGACTTAGACTGGAAACTTCAACAACCTGGATCTTTGCTATTAAGTCACTTTCCCATGCATGCACATATATACACACACACACACACACACACACACACACATACAAATACAAATACATATCTTACTCCTTTCTGCACACAGATTAGATCAGGCATTTGCACTGATCTGGTTTTTCTTTCTCTTTAAAAAAATGATAAACATTCCATAGACTTATAGCCCTCCCTTTGCCTCCATCCTCACATTTTTTGTGTGTGTGAAATCTTTTTTTCCCAATTTTCTCTAGTCAAGAAGACATCTTTTTACACCTGCTGATAAGAGAATCCCTCGAATTCGGATCGAAACCAGACAGGCTTCTACATTAGAAGGACGGAGAATTATTGTTGCCATTGATGGTTGGCCCAGAAATTCCAGATATCCAAATGTAAGCTTAAAGTATTAATTTTACTTTAGGATATTGGTGCTTTTAATTAAAATAAAATCTACTTCTACATAGGATTTGTACTGAAACTTAGGATATTTCACAGTTATCTGATGAATAGCATTCCAATTTGAAAATTAATTTTATGGAATTCCAGTATAAATCATATGGTTACTTTCACTCAAATTTCCAAAGAAATAACTTTTATTTTTTTTATTTTATTTTATTTTTTTTTGAGTCAACGTTAGTGAGAACAAAGAAATAACTTTTATTGATACTGACTCTGAAAAAAGTCTTTGAGTTCTACATAGATTCTAACTAACAATTTTTGAAGGTATTGTATTTGAAGCACATTTTAAACTGGAAAGTTAATAGGAAATAGATGCTTTTTGATATAAGAATTGAGCCCTCTTGAAGTATCTATCATAAATTAGTTAAGAAGTCTTGTCATTTTCACCTTTAATTTGCGAAGGAGTCATTTTAACAGGTTGTTAGGGAACATTTAGACATAGGGATATATAAATGCTAAAGAATTTAATGTAAAGTGTAAATTAGCTATAAAATAGGCCTTTCTAATAATAGCTTTTGGTTTTAGGGACACTTCGTAAAAAATTTAGGTGATGTTGGAGAGAAAGAGACTGAAACAGAAGTTTTATTACTTGAGCATGATGTTCCTCATCAGCCTTTTTCACAGGCTGTTCTTAGCTTTCTGCCAAAGATGCCTTGGAGCATTACTGAAAGGGTAAGTTGAAAAGAATTCATAGTGCCTTTATAAGTTATTATATCTTAGCTAGTTTTGTATAATTTCTACATTTTTTTTTTTTTTTTTTTTTATGAGACAGAGTCTCACTCTGTCGCCTGGGCTAGAGTACCATGGCATCAGCCTAGCTCACAGCAACCTCAAACTCCTGGGCTCAAGTAATCCTACTGCCTCAGCCTCCCAGGTAGCTGGGACTACAGGCATGTGCCACCATGCCCAGCTAAGTTTTCTATATATTTTTAGTTGGCCAATTAATTTCTTTCTATTTTTAGTAGAGACGACGTCTTGCTCTTGCTCAGGCTGGTCTCGAACTCCTGACCTTGAGTGATCCTCCCGCCTCAGCCTCTCAGCGTGCTAGGATTACAGGCGTGAGCCACTGGGCTTGGCCCTCTACATGTGTTTTTAAATATGTAAAAATCATGGTCCCTCCTCCGCTGCATTTAGTTTGGTAAAGCACTTAGGTATCATGGAAATCATTTGCTTATTTAGTGAAAGATAAATGTTTCTGAAGGGCAGACACTAGCATATATCAAATATTTTAAAGGCAGAGAAACCACCAGTTACAAATGATATGTGGTTGTCATCAAGAAAATAAAACTAGATTTTTTTATATAGATATTATTGATTTCAAAAGAGCTATGTTGGCAGTCATAGTGCTGAAATATTTCTTTATAATGTGGCATCTTATAGGACATGAAAAACCGAGAAGACCTGAGGCATCTGTGTGTTTGTAGCGTGGACCCACCAGGATGTACTGATATAGATGATGCTCTACATTGTAGAGAACTTGAAAATGGAAATTTGGAGGTATTCAAATTATAATGATTTCTTACCTAATTATAGTTCTGTTCTCAAGTTCATTTTCTTTTGACCTGGGTTAGAATTAGTTTGTGAATTATTCACATGAAGTATATAGTTATAGCCGCAGAAACTAATGGACATGTGTCAAAAGTTGAATTGGTAGATGTGACTGAGTTGTTTTATCAGTGTAGCTACATTTCTTCTCATTAAAACTTCAGTGGTACACTTACTGGATTTAAGCATATTGACACCCTTTTATTATCTTTTTAAGGTTGGTGTTCATATTGCTGATGTTAGCCATTTTATTAGGCCAGGAAATGCCTTGGATCAAGAATCAGCCAGAAGAGGGACAACTGTGTATCTTTGTGAAAAGGTAAATGTGTTAAATTTAAAATTTTTTAACAGTTGTGTGCAATTTTGAATTCTTGAACCATAATGGTTTGAAATAGTATTAAATAGCTGGAGGAAAACTTAGAAAAAAGTGGTTTTAAGTCCCTGAAAATATTGCAGATTTTTTTATTAGGTGACCTAAATAACAAGTAAAAATTGGTTCCCCTAAACTTAATAGAGAAGAATTATGAAAGTAAAGGGGAAAGTTAAGCTTTTTTCTGTTTTTCTCTGTAGCTTTTTTCCTTTAAAATCCAGTTTTTCTCTGTTTTTAGTACTTTCAAAACACCATGTAGTTAGTGTTAAACATTGGAGAGAGGTCCATTCATTGAGCTGCTAGGGCTTATGTCAGTTATTAAGTACAAACTTATACAGACCAGAGATTGAAAACTTCCAGAGGATAGCAAAATGCTTAGTATACAGGATTTAAAGATTTAAACTTAGATACACTGGCATGAAGTCCAGTTTTCTTTCATAGCTTTCCTTTTACAACAATTTTGTATAGGTACTTTTCTGGTAACAGATTTTTAGATATTTTCTTATTTTCCTATTCACAAAGACTAGAACACTCCTTTTTTTCCTATTAAATTAATGCTCTTTGTGCTATGTGAGAATAGACTCTCAAATAAATGTGTGTATATAGCTTAGTAATCTTTGACTTATTTTTGAATTTTACAGAGGATTGACATGGTTCCAGAGTTGCTTAGCTCTAACTTATGTTCCTTAAGATCTAATGTTGACAGGTATTTATGCATGTTTTTTCATAAGAACATTGTATTTACTACTTTAATTGATTCCCATTAGTCAATACTATCTTATTTTCCATCATAGGCTGGCATTTTCATGTATTTGGGAAATGAATCACAATGCTGAAATCTTAAACACAAGGTTTACCAAAAGTGTCATTAATTCAAAGGTTAGTTTCATGGTTACCTCCAGTGTTTCAAATCTGTGTTGCTTTTAAGTTTCCTAGATTGATTTGAAAAAGTAAGGCGTATAAGGTTAAATTTTTCTTCATTGTTACAGCAAAATCTATTTTTTTAGTTATCTGCTTAATTATGTTATTCAGAAAATAGTTTATGTGGTAGTTGTCCTGTATTCAGAAACTTAAAAAGCCTATATATTAGAGAAGACCAAATAGATGATTTTATACCCTAACTCAGGAACTCCAGTTACTGAAGTTGTTCCTACTTATAAATGATTAGTGGTTTAGCATGTATATCATCTTCACATTTTCTCATAGAAACGTTGTTATAAATCGTAGTTGGATTCAAGTAGAAATAGCCTGAGATTGTGCTCAGACAGAGGTGGAGCCAGATTGTCTTTCTTGTCCTTTTCGTTTTTTTGTACTTCTCCCCAGAATAATCCCTTTTGTTCTCTTCATTTTGCCCTAAATCTTTGCCCAAGGTTTACCAAACCCCTTATCTTCTACTGATCTGTTTTCTAAACTCATATGTTTTTTCTTTCCCTTTAGCATCATTCTCTGTTTTGATAACTAGTGGTTGGAAAGAAAACAGTGTTAGACTGACAAATAGTGATAGGTGAATTATCTAAGCCTCCACAAATTTATATTTTTAAATAAGAATGAGTTTATAATTTTCTCAGACTTGATCGGTGTAACAAAAGTACATGAAAATAATTTAGTGCATGTATTACATAAACTATTTTTTAGAAGTAGAACTCTTAGCCCTTAGTAGATGAGTTAGCTGTCCCAGGAATCTGACCTGACCTGCATTATCTAAAATTCTTAGCTATTTCTATAATTTTTACTTATGAAGCTACTCTTTTTAATATGGTAAAAATTGGTAGATTTCCATGAGGAGAGAAATAGGAACAGAAGCAGTTAATATTGGTATATTTGTATTGTCATTGAAGATTTCTTTAAATCTTTTCTGCTATGATTTGTCCCATTTTTAGGTACTTAATGATATACTGCACAACATGATGTCTAGGCTCATACAATATTCTTAATTATTTGCCAGTGAGTAGGAGAGTAATGATCATCTGGAAAGGATTTGATTTTATAGTTACCAGAGAATACATCTAACCTGCCTATATTTTATTTTAGCATTACTTGAGTATTTCTACACTAACTGAAATATGAAAGTAATTAAAATTTAAACTATTTACTAACAGTATTGCCATTTTTATTCTTACTAAGTTTGCTTATTATGTAATGTCTCAGATTAGAGTTAATGAACCAGAAATCATAGATATGAAGTATAAATAAATATTATAGCTGTGAATATTTCTTTTGTTACAGATTTTAGGTTATCTGAAATCATGAATTTTATGTAGTGGAAATGTGAGAACATAGTAAACTAGTTTTTATAATTTATAATAAATACGTGGTTTTTTTTTCAGGCATCGCTTACATACGCCGAAGCACAGATGAGAATTGATTCGGCAGCAATGAATGATGATATTACCACTAGTCTCCGTGGACTAAATAAACTAGCCAAAATTCTGAAGAAAAGAAGAATTGAAAAAGGGTATATTTCAAAGATATCTATTAAGATGTCTTAATGCGTTTATCATAGTATTAAGATAATTTGTGGACTCTTCAAATTGTTTTATCATGGACAATGATGAGTTATTTAATAGGGTGAATATGGACTCCCATTTCTTCTAACTACCCTGGAGTTCTTTCCTTGTAATTTGTTGTGCCAAAAAATGATGTGTTTGACTTAGAGATCTTGAGCAAATTCTAGGAAGGCAAGAACTTCTTGAGACTTTTATGGATTATTTCTAATTTTAATTAGAAATGAGTTTCCAGATTGAACATTGGTTTTTAGATGTTTAAATAAATGTAGAGGAAGTCCTCCTTGTACTTTAGATTTGGAAGAGATATTAGAGATTATCTAATTCAACCCCTTCTTTTTTTAAACAATAAAAAGTTACATAGAAATAGTCCTCAAAGATCTAATAGCAAGGAGCAGATTCAGGTCTTCTGTTGCTATTATGTCATGGCATTTACCTAACTACGAGAGACTTAAGGTAAGGAATGTTAACTCAAACCTGTTGAAAGAAAGCAGTTAAAAGAAATTTCATTCTTGAAAGATGTCATCAGCTATTAGAGAAAACCAAGTACATGAGCCTTTCAGATATTGGTTTCTGGGTTTTCATCCCCATCCAGGGTTGGGTCACCAAGCAGTTACTAAAAGTGTTTTTGTTGGGGAGTGTAAACACCTGCACTGTTTCATAAGATATGCCTATATAAATTCATTAAAATTAAATAAAATTAACAACTTAGTTTCTTAGTATTACTAGCCGCATTTCAGGTATTCAGCAGCCACATGTGGCTAATGACTATCATACTGGACAGTGTGAGTGTAGAATGTTTGCATCACTACAGAGCAAGCCTCTCAACAGTATTCTAGGTAGTTAATGCTGAGCCACACCTGTCTCTACAGGCACCTCAGTTTTCTGGGAATTTTTCATATGATCCTAAATGTGAAACTTGAAACTATGTACAGATAATTTGGATGCATTAAAACCCAGTGAAAGTTATCAAACTAGAGCAAAGGTTTTGCTCAAGCTTGTCACTTACATGCAGGAGAAATAGAGATTTTTTTGTGACACAAAATGACACATTATTCAACAATTTTTTTGTGGAAGGTTTACAGTATGCCAGGCATCAGAAGAAAATTTGTATAATGATAATTTTTAGAAAAAATTATTTTAAAAACCAAGTAAATAATTGGTTTTTAAACACAAATTGAAGGCAGATTTATTTTGATTGTTTTAAGGTAAGAATTTGCATTTGTAAAATAGCTTCTCAAAATTGGGAAAGATATTTTTTAATTTCAACAACAGTGTATTTTTAATTTTGTAAGTAGATGGTCATCTGTTGGTAAAACATATCATTGATTCTTCTCAGTCTCAGGGAGAATTAAGAAAAGAATCAGCAAAAAAAGACATCTGTTGCCTTCTTAAATTATGAATATTCATGAGTAGACATAACATTTTAAGTGTACTATGAAGAAAAAAATCAAAATGTGATAAGTATATGACATTGCTTTTTATGTCAAGATACATCAATAAACATATTAGGTCTGATGTAGAACTTTTTAAAAAGTACTACATAGCAGAAAAGGAATATTTGTTGAGATTCCCTTTCCAGTGTATGTTCTTACTGGAGCTTTCTCTTAATAAAGGGGAGGAGTTGAGGAAGAAAAGGGCTTGGCTTCTCACTTAACTTGCTCAGTCTCTTATTTTTTTTCCCCTTCACTTTTTTTCCCTTCTCCATGATTGTTCTGGGTTGTCTAGCCTCATTAAAATTCTTAGTTTTAGGTTGATTTGGAACTGACCAGGTGAAAGTAATGTTAAGTTGTGAAGAAACATTAGGCTTGCCTTGCCTTATGGGAATTTACTTTTCAAAGGAGAACATGCCAACTCATTAAATGAATCATACACAAAAAAACCCTTAGCATAGTATGTTATCTGACACATAGCACCAAATATTGATAACCATCAGTACTTGTAACAAATTAGTGGTAGTAGTCTGTCAGTCTCTACTCTGTTGCTTGAATCTTTGTGGAAGATACCTTTGGACTGTGGATCTTCTGATGTTACTAACTTTACCCATGGCAGCTTCTCTTTTGCCCCTTTTTGTTGGCCCCTAGCCCCAGTACATTTTTTTCTGTAGAAAATAAAATACTGCCAGTCACCTTATTTATTTGTAAAAGTGATTACAAACCAGTGTAGTTCAGTAAAAACTATAGTTTACACAAAGAAGGTATTCAAACCTTCAAAAGCAAAGGAACTTAGATTTTATTGAGTTGCTGTTGTGGTTTCTTGTTAAATGCATTTTAGGTCTCTAAAATACTAAGATGAAAATAGGGCATAAAACTTAGTAGATAGTCATAAAGCCTTCAGAAGAGCAACTATTACACACTTGCTGTAGTCATTTTCTGTTTAAAAGAATCATTTCCAGAATTTTGTCTCTGTTATTGGTTCACTTGAAATTTACCTCTCTATTTTTTATTTAGGGCTTTGACTCTTTCTTCTCCTGAAGTTCGATTCCACATGGACAGTGAAACTCATGATCCTATAGATCTGCAGACCAAAGAACTTAGGTATGCAATTTTTTTGATGGGCAATACATAAGATTTTGAATTTAATGTTTAGTGCATATATTAATTACCAAAACATTTATATCCAAAATATTTGTTTCCATTAGAGTTATGATTTCTGTAGATTTTCTTGGCCTGTAAAATATATAGAAAAGTAAATTTGATCTCATTCTTTAGTTTTTCTTATATAAAACTGGGATTACATAATTGTATAGAATTAGTTACAATTCTATACAATTGTAGTATACAATTAGTTACAATTCTGTACAATGTAGTATACAAATACATAATTGCATAGAATGATAATAGAAATTTCTAATTTGAATTCATTTGCTTTGATATATGATATATTAGAACTTGACTAGTAATAGTCATGGTAAATAAAAGAAGATTATGATTACTTAAGTGTTAAATACAGAATATATTGTGATAGGATAGAATAGTTATTAAGACCATGGGGCTTGAAGCCAGACTGTCTACGTTTGGATCTCACTTCTGCCACTACTACTCAACAAGTTTAGTTTTTTTTTAAACCTCTCTATGCATCAATTTATTTGTCTGTAAATAGTGTATGATTGATAATGGTACCTACTTCATAGAGCATTGTGAAGAGTACATACATATTAGCTATTACTTTCTTTTATTGCTTTAGGTGAGATTTAGGAAGCATGATAGTTTTGATTAGAGTTTAGGCCTCTTTCCATGCTTGTTATATAAGGTAATTCTGAAATTAAACATGCACATACACTTTTCTAGTAGATGACAAGAGTTAAAAATAGGAATATACTTAGATTTTTTTACTTAGGACCAGTATGTGCTTTAGAGCTACAATTAAAAAGTTCCTTAGTGGGGTACTTCTATGCAAATATGTCTAATGTTAATACTAACAATGAAGCTGGGCATGGTGGCTCACACCTGTAATTCCTGCACTTTAGGATCATTTGAGGCCAAGAATTCGAGGTTAAATGAGCTATGACTGCACCGCTGCACTCTAGCCCGGGCAACAATGAGACCCTGTCTCTTAAAAAAAAATACTAACAGTAAGCCCAGTTCTAGGAGCTTTTTTGAGGAAAAGGTTGACTCTAGCTTTGCCAAAGAATATCACCCATTTCTTATCAGGAGAAAAAACACATTTTTTCTAAGAGATTATCCTCATATGATTGGAGGTCTTCCTAATATTTTAAAAATTAGTGTACTTTAGAAATCTTGTCAAGAAGTTAAAACATGTTATTAAGAATGGAAACATGAATTGAAGATTAATAATACGTGTTCAATGATTGGAATGAAGAAAGTACTATATAAACAGAAGGCAGATCAATTACTAAGCTATGCTTAAAACGTACATACAGTAACTATACATGGAATACAAACAATATTAGCAAATTGGTTAAGAGCTTTGAAGTCAGATTATATAGATGAAATCTGATACTTGTAATAACTCAGATCTTGAGCAAGAGAATGTTGTAAATCCTCCATTTTTTATCTGCAAAGCAGTGTGTGGATATGTGTGTGGGGGGAGCTACTGTAAATATGATCTCTTCATTTGAGTGATTTATTGGTGAAAGTTTTAGTTTTTCAAGCCAAAATTTGTATAACCTAAGTAGCTTTTAATTATTCTTGGTAAACTTTATTTTTATGGATTTATAGTTAAATAAAAATTTCTTTGGACCTATTAAAAGGTAGAAATGCTTTTGTTTTAAATTTTATATATTAATAGAGTTAGTAAAGCTTCTGTTTTTCTTGAGTATAATTTGTAAAGTCTCCTCTGGCACATAAGATTTACTCGTGCAGTAGATGCATAATAAGAATTTGTTAGCATAGTAACTGAGAAATGAAAGAGCCATAAGATTTTAAAAATATACATGTGGACAACACATATGAATATTTATATAAAAAATGGCATAACCTTGTTGGTATAAAAGGTAATCTGTGAGTAAATACGATCTATAGAAGTCTCAGATTCTCTTTTTTTGTTTAATGCTTTTTCCATTGGCAGAGAAACAAATTCCATGGTGGAAGAATTTATGTTACTTGCCAATATCTCTGTTGCAAAAAAAATTCATGAAGAATTTTCTGAACATGCCCTCCTTCGAAAACATCCTGCACCACCTCCATCAAATTATGAAATTCTTGTTAAGGCAGCTAAGTCAAAGGTAAGGTGCTATACTGTGAAGAATCATCTATATTTGTGTTACGATCTATCTATTGCACTGAGTAATTTATATTCATATCTCCATAAGTTTTGTTGTTTTTGATGCAGAATTCTGCCAGTGGTTTTTTTTTTTTTTTTTTTTTCCGGCATATTATGGGGGTACAGATTTTAAGGTTTCAATAAATGCCCATTCCCCCCCCCCCCAGTGATTCTTTTGATGAAAAAACAAATACCTTAAGTTGGGTATGGTCATCTATTTCTACATTGAAGTCATCTGCTTAGTAAAATCTTTTAATGTCTTTAAAGAGCCACCTATGCTAAAGCCAGATGTTCTAGACTTAGTTGTTTGCAGTATCTTGGACACAAATTTATTCCATATCTCTCTGCTTTTATAAATTTTTTATGCCTGTGTTGCTTCATGGCTTGTATGAACTGCCTAGCTTTGGAGATTTACAAATAATTTGCCTTTCTCTTTACTTCAACTCAGCTAAACCGTCTTCATATTATGTCCCTAATAAAGAAGTCTATTTATTGCATACATAGAAAAGAGGGAAAATATAGAAAGGGCACCATTTTCTCAGTGCTGTGTGCCTCTGGTTAGTAGACTTTTATTTAGGCATAGTTACTTCTGGAGTGACTATGGCTTACATTGGTTTTTCTTGGATCACTTGGTCAGGAGAGAGCCGGAAGGAATAGTGATAGATTACAGTGCATTATTCTAACAGGATGGCATTGATTTCTGATTTTGGCTCAGACCTTCCTATGGCCTACCTCTGTCTATCAGAACTGAATCGGCTTCTCACTCTCCTATTCTAAAACTTACTCCATATATTGAGGGATTTTCTCTCTTTGTCTAATTTCTGCCTAAGACCTAGGTAGAGGAAGAATGATTTAAGTATTTTTGACTCATTTCCCTAAGGTAGATCAAAGTAGATAAATTTGATGACTCAGAACATTGTTCTGACTGAACATTGTTCTGACTGAGCTATAGTGACCAGTACAGTTTTGTTTCTGGCCTCTACCTTTACTTTGAATGGAAGCAAAATAACAAAAACCCTGTTTGCTCAATCTGATTAGTTATTTTGAAGATATGATGGTACTGCTTTAGAAATGTTTAATATAATGTTCTTTACCACCTTTTTATTCACAGAATTTGGAAATTAAGACTGATACAGCCAAGTCTTTGGCTGACTCTTTGGACCGGGCCGAGTCTCCTACTTTCCCATATCTAAACACCCTGTTAAGAATATTAGCCACTCGTTGTATGATGCAAGCTGTGTACTTCTGTTCTGGGATGGATAATGATTTTCATCACTATGGCTTGGCATCCCCAATATACACACATTTTACTTCACCCATCAGAAGGTATTTTTTTCTTTATGAAATTAAAGGAGATAGAAAATAGTTAATTTTGAATTTAAAAAAGACATTTGAATACTAACATATCATGGGTCTTATTTCTCCTTCATTCATCTAGATACGCAGACATCATTGTTCATCGGCTGTTGGCTGTGGCTATTGGGGCCGACTGTACTTATCCAGAGTTGACAGACAAACACAAGCTGGCAGATATATGTAAAAATCTCAATTTCCGGCACAAAATGGCTCAATATGCCCAACGTGCATCAGTGGCTTTTCATACCCAGGTATTTGCCTTCTAGCAATAATGTAAGAGATGATTTGTTTTTTAATTTCAAAAAAATTCTTTTACTTCCAAAATATTTTAAGGCTATTTTTAATAACCTTGTATGTTACTTTACAGTTATTTTTCAAAAGCAAAGGAATAGTAAGTGAAGAAGCCTATATTCTGTTTGTAAGAAAGAACGCTATTGTGGTGTTAATTCCAAAGTATGGCTTAGAAGGTACAGTGTTTTTTGAAGAAAAGGACAAACCAAAGCCACGGCTTGTTTATGATGATGAGGTACAGTGTTTTTAATGTTTTTGTGTTCATTTGAGGGGGCACTTTTTCTTTGACAATTCGCAAATGGGACCTAAACAGTATAAAATTATATTTTATACCCTACAGAATTTATCCAAATCTCTACATGCCAGAAAATCTACATTTAATTATGCCAACTAAGCTATGGTTTTACTCACCATTTCTCACCTCTGTATATCTCCGCACATACAAATGTCCTTGTTTTTTTTTCTTTTTTAATACCATGTTAAGATTTGCCCCAGGTGGACAGGCAGATTAAAGGAATAAATGGTTGCTTATAGTTTAGGGAAGGAAGTTTTTTTTAGCTGACTTTCTGTGTTAGTTAAAGGAAATTTTTTTTTAACTGCCACATTCCCTATTCCCCTAACCTTATAACTACAGTTCTGAGAAGATTTAAACAATTCACAGAGTATCTTTGTGGTTTCTTAATGGCATCTGGGAACTTAAAAACAAAACAAAGCAAAAAATAGCCAAAGTGCCTTTGTGTTCCTCTATTAGACCAACAATTTGCTAATAGTAGGGCGAGAAACCTGAGATTAATGAATATATATTGGGACCACATTAATGAAAGAAGAAAGTATGCACATAAATAGATCATATTTATGTGAGGCTGCTAGGCTTGTGGTTTTTGTTATATTGAACACCCAGAAGCTTAATAATGTGGAAGTAATTTTGAAATTTAAACTTTTAAATTACTATGAAAGATAAACTGTAAAAAAATTAGAACAAAGCCTCAAATGTAAGAAAGTAATTATGAGTGACAAACTGTGTTTTGTTTAGATACCTTCACTTAAAGTAGAAGATACAGTGTTCCATATATTTGATAAAGTTAAAGTAAAAATCATGTTAGACTCTTCTAATCTTCAGCATCAGAAAATCAGAATGTCCCTGGTAGAACCACAGGTAAGATCAAACTTATAATTTCCATGTTGTAATGGAACAAACAGTATATGCTTTGTCAAAAAGAGGGATATAGTTATGTTATTTCTGTTTAACGTTAGAGGGAATCCTGTTATTGTAGAGACCAAATATTTGCATAGCATGTCCTATTTTCTCACTAATTTCCTTGGGCCATCTGAAGATGCCAGACATCTGAGATTGTTCTGAGGCCTTTGGTGCCCAAAGCAAAGGTCTTTCAGTTCTCCTGCCTGGTCCTTTTTCTCTAGTTTTGAAATGTTCACTTTTGAAGATGAAGTGTAGGTGTTTCACCTAAGATACTGGTTCTGCCCCAACACACCAGAGGCTTCTGATGCCATCAGTCACAGTGGCTCCACTAGAGAAAACTGAACATGGGGAAGGCTGTTTTACAGTGAAAAACACACTTCCCAAGTGACAGGTGGTTTCTGACCTATGAGACCATATCTACCTTTTATGTTTCTGAACCACCAACACTGTGTCTTAAGTATATCTACTTTGTAAAACCCCTTTCACCCTCTACCCTTGCATCCTTTTAAACTTGAAAGTAGCAGTAGAGAAAGGGAAAATGATGAGATTTCTTATTTTATGCTTTTAATCACCTTATTTTTCCTCATTTGCATTACTTTAGATACCAGGAATAAGCATTTCTACTGATAATTCAAACATGGACCCTAAGGAACCAGAGAGAAAGAAGATGAAGCTCAAAAAATAGCTACTACCTTCAACAAAAATACTTCAGACTGGTTTCCTTAAAAACAAAACAAAAACTTGGAACACTTCTAAGCCTAAGTGTGTGATACAGTTTGTTACTTTTAAGTACGTTAGTAATTTTAGAAATTTGCATTTTTATTGAACTGTTGAGACTCTGTCCTATCTTACTCCTTCATTTCTGATTGAACAGAAATATTTATGCAGAAGAATTCAATTGAATATCCATTACTTAAATATAGTGACAGGATAGCAACTTCAGGGATCTGTACAGATCATTTAAATGGAGAACTCATCTGCTCATTGAGCAGATTAATTTTGCATAAGTACATTGATTGTTTAATATTGGTAGGCAAAAAGCTATCATTTTCTTATAGAAGAGAACATTTTTAGAAGCAAAGAATTTCTTTCTAAATCTTGGAAGCTGTCAATATTTTGTATGTAATGTCTTTTGCAATCTTTAATTTACCTAATTAAGTGTTTTCTTACTGTGTTTTTTTTAAAAAAAAAAAAAAAAAAAAAGCCTTTTCAAACAGCTGTGAATGTTTGGGAATTGGTAGAAAGGCAAGAAATAGGATATTTGACCTGACTGGGAAAATGGTGGTTTTTCTCATTATCAGGTAAGAAGTGTGATCATCATCTTTGAACTTCAGCTCCAGTGTCTCACCAACATAAGATATTAGAGCTCAAAGAAAGAATAGAGATGTAACTGTAAATGTTTATATCTTGTTACTTATAAAATAAAAAAACAGACAATTAATGACTTTTAAAATGTGATTACATCAGGTTATATTGGAGAGAAGGAATTAAGGACACATTAAAGGGAATAGATTAAAATAAGCATTATAATTTAGTGTCTCAGATTACTTCTCTTGTTAACCACAGAGATTAGTAATGATTAAAATGGTGTTTTTAAGATATTTTGGAATAGGATTACTTTAAAACACTTGACTTTTTCAATTTCTAAAGCACTTAACAGTCTACCAGATTCATCATCAGTCAAGTTAAACCATCTCTGCCTTTAAGGAGCTTGCAGTAAAATGAGAAAAGATTGGCAAATAAATCAGCCAGGTATACTAAGTGGGTATAATTAACAATATTTACAAACATTTAAGCACTTAATTTTTGTTGATTTTTTTCCAGCTTCCTGGTACTGAGTAAAACATTTATACATATAGTTGACCCAACTGTAGTTATGCACTGCTTGAGTACTTTTCACATGTCAACAAAATAGTACTGATTTGACTACTTTCCTGCCAGTCACTTTAAAATTTTTTGCCTCTAGGCTATAGTTTACTTGCAATAGAGGAAAAGGGGGCTGCTTCTTGGGAAAGTAAGGCTATGACTGACCTCTGTTATCTTTCCAAGTTTGGAAAGTAGGCCTAATGCAGGCATTAATCTTAATTGAGTAATTCAAGATTATCACAGACCATGTTACTTTCCTCTAAGGCCTCTTTGGTAATGTAGAATGTTTTGTTTCTAGTGTAAGTTCTTATGCTAAGTAGCTCACCTGGAGTATTTCATTTAAAATCAAAAAGCCCCGTAAGACTTTTCTCCATTTAATAGATGAGAAAATTGAGGTTTATATCAAATAGTGAGTTGACAGAAAAAAATGTGAATCCAGGTTATATTCACTACTTTGTTCTTTATTTCTTGACTTGCACTATTAAGAAAACAACAGTCAGGGAGGCTCCTACCTTTAGGACCTAGGATTCCTCTTATGTAGAGTGGTTGTTTTTAGGTAAATTTATATTGGGTCTAAAGCCTATGTGATTGAAGACTTAACTTTCCAATGCAGTGTCTTTAGCCATGGACCTAACGGCTGATGGCTTTCACGGTTAGTGTGTTTGTTGGTGAAGAGGATGAGCCAAGTACACCAGAAGGCACGTTTTTTGCATACCAGCAATATGCTCACAAGGTACAGAGTAAGGAAGAAAATGACACAATGATAATATATGTCTTTATTTCCTAGGGCTACAAATTAATTATTATTTCCTTTTGATGGAGACAGTTTAAAAGATGGTTTGCACATATAAATATATATTCTCTCAAAGTATTTCCAAACAAGTCATATACTTATCTACTCCCAACATGGATGTAAGTTTTTAAAAAAATAATTGCATTGAATGTATGTATCAACCCAACTGTTACATCATAGGTTAAGCCTTATACAAACTCCAGTGTCCCCCAGTCTCCACTGTTTCTCCTGGTTATTCTTCTCCTTAGCCAAGTTTGAGCTGGAAAGGATATCCTTACGCTAGGGATGGAGGTATATTTTGTTCTGAGCACCACACATTTATCCCACAGATAACAATACATATCATGCTGCTGCTAGTACTACCTTTCTAGTAATAACATGTTTAACAGTAGTAACTAGAGCAATATCACTGGAACCAAGAATTTTCCCCACATAAATGAACAAATAGTTCCAAGAACTAAAATTTTAAGAAACCCGTTTATAACTTCCTTTCTACCTCTTTAATAAGTTTGTTTTATATCTAAACATTTCTTACACATATTCATTGTAGAATGTAAAAATATAGTGCCTTTAGTTTTAACTTACTTTCACATGTTCTCAGAACTGCTAAATTGAGTGCTATCAGTAAGGTTTAATAAGTAGTTCACTGGCCCTGTAGGACAGGAACAATCATCTTGGTCACAATTTTATATTGTTAAACACATCACTCAACGTAAGTATAAAAATATTTATTGATAAAAAATAAACTTATAATTCAGTAACTTTAAGTTCCAGGAGCTTTTGTGTTGTTCCTATGTCACTAAATTAAGCCCTTGATTTTTCACATTAAGGAGGGAAAGAAAGCTAAGCATGTTACTTGAAGCAGTTCTTTCCCAATCACCATCACATTATTGATCCTGTGCATAAAAATATGTGAGGAGCTATTCTGCCACAGTCTTTGGTTCTGATAGAGGTATTTTATGGACTGCTGCATTGAGAAGGACTTGCTGTTTTCATCCAACACCTCTGTGTTGTGTGTTCTTGCTGTGAAAAGAAAATACCTTGTTTTCAGTTTAAATAGGACTATTCAAGGATGCAGCTATGATCTGAACTGTTTTAAAAACTTGAATGCAAATTTCTTTAGCTTAACTCTAAAGGGACAGAAAAGATAGCATTTTTTACAAGTCAATATTCTGTATCAAAAAGAATCTTCCCTTTCTTAATACCTACTTATATTTAGATGTATAACTATAATCCAACTCCTAAACAGGATGGGCTTTGTGCAAGTTAATCTTAGAAGAGACCTGTTCTGACACTATATATTAATATAACAGAAAGGCAAAATGGAGGAAAGGAAAATTAAGGTGGCCTCTCCATTAAACTTCTTTTGGAGAGTTATGTTCAGTTGCACTCTTGCTGTTTAGTGCTTTATGAATAAAATAGGCATGTAAAATCAAAGATTGTCCTCACTAGTGCCTAAAATTATGGGTTTCTTCATCTATGAATATGTAGTTATAACTAAAATATCTAGAAGGTTCAGTAAATGTCCTTATACTACCTTCGTATTATATAAACACTTTGTAGTATGTAAGATACTTGTGTTATCTTGTTTAGAACAACCAAAATCTATAAAGGCAACTGGATTTTAAGAAAACAGCCTTAGCTTTTAGTGCTTTTGATATAGTCTAAATTGTACTATTTGCTAATGAAAAATTTTTCGTGTATAGCTTTGAGCTGTCTTTTTGAAATAGTTCAAAGGCAGCAAAATCAATATTAGAAGCAAAAATGTCTGACTCTTCTATTCCCTTTAATATTAACGACTGATGTCAAGCACCATTCCAAAGTTGAACTAGTTCTCCCTCTCCCACAGCCTCTTCTCTTACTCTCCCATATTGGAAGAGTTTGAAAAGTGAAGTGTTTTGATTTAAAAACCACCTCCTCCCACTGTTAAATAAAATGAAGATAAAATAAGGCACAAATAGATGATAATTAACAAAACTTTAAGCAGAATGGGGGGAAAATATATTGAAAAAAGTCAACATTTAGTAAGTATATTAAACTTTATATGTTTTCCATACCTTTATATTAAAAACTTGAGATTTAGTCTCCACGTCAAAGGTTTGTACATCACTTTCTTTGCAATAACTCTCTGCCCCAACTGTATCCATAGTATTGCTTCCACAATTCTGTGTATTATAGCCACTATCCATCTGACAGAAATAGGAGAAAAAAGAAAACAAAAACACTTAAGGATAAAATTGCAAACTTATTCACTTATCCATAAGATTAATTATGAGGAAATTAGAAGTTAAAAATTTAAGTAAATCACTATAATTTCATTCACTACATCTGAACAATACAATGTAATATTTAATTATTGATCATATTGAAAAAACTTTCAACATAAAAGGTAATTCTAAATAGAACTGATTTTTTTCTGAGACATGGTCTTGCTCTGTCGCCTGGGCTAGAACACAGTGGCGTCATCATAGCTCATTGCAACCTCAAATTCCAGGGCTCAAGTGATCCTCTTGCCTCAGCATCCCAAGTAGCTGTGATTGTTTCTTTTTTTGAGACAGAGTCTCACTCTCTTGCTTAGGATAGAGTGCTGTGGCATCTGCCTAGCTCAGAGCAACTTCAAACTCCTTGGCTCAAGCAATCCTTCTGCCTTAGCCTCCTGAGTAGCTGGGACTATAGGCATGCACCACCATGCCAGGCTAATTTTTATATATATATATACACACACACATACACACATACATATTCTTTTTAGTTGTCCAGCTAATTTCTTTCTATATTTTTGGTAGAGTCAGGGTCTCACTCTTGCTTAGGCTGGTCTCGAACTCTTGAGCTCAAACAATCCTCTGACCTCAGGCTTCCAGAGTGCTAGGATTACAGATGTGAGCCACTATGCCCGGCCTATATGAACTCTCTATTTTAGTTGTTTTGGCTAATTTCTTTCTATTTATAGTAGTAGAGACAGGGTCTTGCTCTTGCTCAGGCTGGTCTCAAATTCCTGAGCTCTACGGATCCTCCCAGCGTGCTGGGATTACAGGCGTGAGCCACCACACCCAGCTAACTGTTCTTAAATATAGTCACTTTACAATTCCTTCTAATGAAATGTCTTGGAGTTTCCTTTAGAATCAGTGAACAAGCCACTGAGAACATGCTTTCCTGTTACTTTGTGAGCATACCTAGTAGATGAAAATGAAGATTACAGTCAACTTCACCTGCCAACTTATTTTCAAAGCTTAGCCCTAAATGGCTTGCATGTGCCTCTAAATAAAATTTACCCAAAAGGAATGCTGCCTTTAGGAGTATTCAAAATAGGCCAGGCATGGTGGCTCACACCTGTAATCCTAGTGCTCTGGGAGGCCAGGGGGAGAGGATTGCTTGAACCTAGGAATTCGAGACCAGCCTGAGCAACAAAGCAAGACGCCATCTCTACAAAAAAATCAAAAAATTACCCAAGTATGGCATGCCTGTAGTCCCAGCTAATCGGGAGGCTGAGGCAGGAAGGTCGCTTGAACCCAGGAGATTGAGGTTGCAGTGAGCTATGATAATGCCACTGCATTCTAGCCCTGGCGACGTAGACATTGTCTCAAAAAAAAAGTATTCAAAATATACATTTTTTTTAAAAGTGGGTTACATTATACTCATATCCAATTGTTCATAGTGATGCCATGTGTATAATGGCTCTGGATGTTAGTTTAACTTTTCATGGTAATAAAAATTGTAGCACTCTAAGACACCTTCAGCTCCAAAGAACAAAAGAAAAAGATTATAGCAAAGTTCCTGTTTGGTGTACATATAAAATATTTATTCAGTATCTTTTTAATTATTTTATATATATATATATATTTTTTTTTATATAAAGTCTTATTCTGTTGCCCAGGCTAGAGTGCTGTGGCATCAGCCTAGCTCACAGCAACCTCAAACTCCTGGGCTCAAGCTATCCTTCTGCCTCAGCCTCCCAAGTAGCTGGGACTATAGGCATGCGCCACCATGCCCGGCTAATTTTTTCTATATATTTTTAGTTGGCCAATTAATTAATTTCTATTTTTAGTAGAGACAGGGTCTTGCTCTTTCTCAGGCTGGTCTCAAACTCCTGAGCTCAAACAATCCGCCCGCCTTGGCCTCCCAGAGAGCTAGGATTAGAGTCGTGAGCCACTGTGCCTGGCCTTTATTCAGTATCTTAAAACATGCCAGGCCCTATATGCACTCTATATAAGCTCATGCTCACTCTATATAAGCTATATGCACTCTATATAAGCCCCATATAAGCTCATATATACATGTTTTATAATATTTTTTTTTATTTTCTCACAACTCTATGAGAAGATGAGGAAGCTAAGGCTCAGAAAGGTTAACTTTCACAATGTCATGCAGTAATGAGGTGACAAAGATCTGAGGCTCCAAAGCCCAGGTTCCGTTTACTACACAACACTCCATTTACCTTCATAATGCTGAGCACAAAGCCAAAAATTACCCTTCCCTGAAAATTAGGATAAGAGGGAAAGCAAAACACTGTACTTTTGCTCCCCTCACAAATATTTAGAATAGCATAAAAAGTGTTTTCACTCATAATCCTAAAAATAATGTTGCCAGTTTTGAAGGCTGGATGCATATCTGCTACTATTGGGAGTCATGTTCCATTAGAACAAAAGTCTTACAACACGTAAAATAGAATCTATTACATTTTAGGGAAAACACCTGTTCTCACTCAATAGCTATGTGATCAAACATGTAAATATCAGACTTTTGCAGAGAATTTGCCAATTACTCTTCTAATATTTATTACTGCCAAACTGGCTCTTAATTCAATACTAACACGTAACTGAATATACCAAGGAAGAAGTCCCTCAGTAGTACAGCAGGAAGTAAGGCACACAGGCAGTTTGTCCCATTCTATAGGAAAAGTAGGATCAACAGGAACCCAGTTAAGAAGCAGCTGACCTCACTGTCAATGCCTACTATGTGCCAGCCAGACAACATATTAATAGGTCTTGTTACCCACCACAGGCATCAAAGTAGATGACAGTGGCGTTTCATAGCAGAAAAGGATGAGGTGCTAATGCTAAAATTTAAAAAATCACACAGTATTCACTGTTAAGTGGATCTTGCCTTAAGATTGCTCAGCCTGGAAATAAGAGAACTCTAATTCAAACTTAGTTCTGATTATGAAGTGTATTTTGCGGTTGGGCAATGCTGCCTTTAAAATGGTGACTCACATGGTGACTCTATGTCAGTCATCTTACATACACTTTGTAACTAACTAAATTTCTTTTTCTAAATTTTTTTTGACAAGAGTCTTGCTCTGTCACCAGGGCTAGAGTACAGTGGCGTGATCATACCTCACTGCAAACTCAAACTCCCAGGCACAAGCAAACTTCCTGGCTTAGCCTCTTAGTAGCTGGGATTACAAGCAGATGTCACCACACCTGGCTAAGTTTTTCTTTTTCTACCACATAAATCAGATGTAAATGTCTTTTAAAACCCTTTAATGCTTCACAATTGGCAACAATTGTGCCTTATGTGGGCCTTCCTTGAAATCTGGCCCTAGTACTTTAGCCCTATCTCATCCTGAGTCCCCTGTGCTTGCTACCATTCAGAGGATCTTGTCTCCCATTAGTACTTATTTTTTTGTTTTGTTTTTATTATTTTTAATTAACACATACTTGTACATATTGGCTACAGTGTGATATTTTGATATATGTATACAATGTCTAACGATCAAATCAGGGCGATTAGCATATCCATCACTTCAAACATTTATCATTGTGTTGGGAACATTAAAAAAAATCCACTCTAATAGCTATTTGAAAATATTCGATAAATTGCTAATTATAGTCATCTTTTAGTGTTACCGAACACTATAACTCATTCCTCCTACCTAGCAGTACTTTTATATCCATTTACCAACCTTTGGCTCTCCCCTTCTCCCCCGACACTTCCCAGCCTTTAGTAACCACTATTCTACTCTTCTATGAGATCAACTTTTTTAGCTGAGTAAGAACAAGCAGTAGTTATCATTCTGTGCCTGACTTAATTCCTTAAATAATGTCCTCCAAGCTCATCCATGTTGAATGACAGAATTTCATCCTTTTTATGGCTAAATAGTATCCCATTATATATATATACCACATTTTCTTTATCCATTCATCTCTTGATGGACACTTAGGTTCATTCCATATCTTGACTACTGTGAATAGTACTGCAATAAACATGGGAGTGCAGGCCGGGCGCGGTGGCTCACGCCTGTAATCCTAGCACTCTGGGAGGCCGAGGCGGGCGGATTGCTCAAGGTCAGGAGTTCAAAACCAGCCTGAGCGAGACCCCATCTCTACCATAAAAATAGAAAGAAATTAATTGGCCAACTAATATATATAATATAAAAATCAGCCGGGCATGGTGGCTCGTGCCTGTAGTCCCAGCTACTCGGGAGGCTGAGGCAGGAGGATTGCTTGAGCCCAGGAGTTTGAGGTTGCTGTGAGCTAGGCTGACGCCACGGCACTCACTCTAGCCTAGGCAAGAAAGCGAGACTCTGTCTAAAAAAAAAACAAAAAAAAAACATGGGAGTGCAGATATCTCTTCAACACACTGACTTCATTTCCTTTGGATATATACCCAATAGTGGGATTACTGGATCTTATGGTAGTACTATTTTTAGGTTTTTTTAGGAACCTCCATACTGTTTTTGATAATGACTGTACTAATTTACTTTCCCATCAATAGTGCATTACTTATTAAAAACTAATGATGCTTAGCCACTGTTAGTTTACTCATATTAACTAATCACAATGATCATACTATTATCCTGTAATCCTATTATTATTCCTATTTAAGGGGAAATAAGCTGAAAGAAGTTGTTATTTTCTGGAATTTTTAAAGCCAACAGAGCTGGCTATAAGCCAAAATCTGCCATTAGGCTTTCCCAAGCCCATGTTCTTTAATGACATGCTAGCCCACCACCTATAAACATTTGCACTCATGGCCATCCCAGCCTCCTCTTGTCTTATAAAAGTTGAAAGGTTACCTCTAAAAACTCCACCAGGTCTCAAGATTCCACCCCATCTCGCATGTCTCAGTTCCTCATTTATAAAAAATGGATCACCATTTTACAGATGAGGATACTTATTGCTTCCATAAGCTATCACAGGGATTAAAATCTGACTATAAAATGCTTGACATGGTGTGTGATACTTGAAAAGGACATATACAATTGATCTGTCTTACTAACAATTATCCTTCCTAATTCTTAAAAATATTCTCCCTCTCTTCTTCATTTAAATACTGTATGCTGTTTCTCCTATCTAAAGTAAAAATAGTAAAAAAAAACAAAGTATAAAAAAACCTTGGACTTCGACGTTCTCCTCTAGCTATCACTCTCGTTCCCTTCACGACTAAGTTTCTTCAAAGAATTATCTACATACATTATTTCATTACTTCACCTTCTTTAACCTCCCTTCCATTCCTTTTTTACCTCCCCACCTTGAGGCCATTCAATTGCCACCTACTTCTGTTACTAGCCCAATGGCCACTTTTTAAGCCCTACTTTCTTTGCTTTTGACAGCACTAACCACTGTCCTGCTTCAGATGCTCCATGACACTATGCTTTCCTAGTGTCCCTCTTCTCTTTGGCTGGTTCTCCTCAGTCTCCTTCAGTGCCTCTATTTCCTTTGTCCAACCCCTCCAGTCTTTCTTCATGGTTCCAAATCTTGGCCCACTGTTATTCTCACTTTATATAATCCTTCTGGTTGAACTTACCTATCTATCCATTCTGTTTTCATTACACAAATAGGTAATGAATAGCTATTATGTGCCAGGTGGTTTTTAATTAGCACTGGGGATAAAAACATACGTGATTGTTGGATTAATAGTCCGACTGGAAAGAATGCAAAATGTCCATAGAGTCACGACAGTATAATGAAGTCTGACCTGGCTAGTGTGATCAGGGAAGGCTTCTTTGAAGATGTGACTGATAAGTTGTGAACCACAAAATAAATAGGAATTAACTAGGTAAAGTGGAGTAGAAAGAAGTTTTACACAGTAAGTGTAAAGGCTCTTTGACAGGAGGGAATGTGGTTATTTAAAACTTTGCAAAGCCACTGAGACTGAAACAGAGAATGAGGGGAACAAGATAAAAATGGCAAGGCAAAGGCCAGACCATGTAGTGTCTTGCCAGCCACATTTTAGATTTATTAAATTAATACCAAAAGCAAGATAAAACAAAGCTTAGAAAATAAAAAGTTCAATAGGTTACTATATAAACTTAAGGAAATCTTCCAAAAATTGGGAAACAAAGGAGATAAAAAATATAACTAAAAGATTTTTAACAACTGGAAAAATCGAAAGGACTCCCAGAGATGACAGTGAAAATGACAATGGAGAAATCTAAGATATATCCAAGAAATGATCCAAAAGGTAAAGGGCAAAGTTTACAGATCACAAGGACATTCTTAGTGCCCATAACAATGGATGAAAAGAAACCCATCACCAAAATTTCAAAACACCATGGACAAAGCAAAGATCCTATCCATGCCCAGAGAGGGGGAGAAAAATCATATATAAAAGATTAAGCATTTATATAGTTTCTGATCTTCTACCAGCAATAGTAAAATAGTTAATGAAGCAATGCCTTCACACTCTATGGGACAATTATTTCTAAACTCTCAAATGTGAGAGAAGGGTGACCACATGATTAGACATACAGTGTCTTAAAAAATGTACTCTTCCTTAGTAAACAGCAAAAAATGTGTTCCAGTTAAATGAGAAGGAAACCAGGAAAGAGAAGAATGGGATACAGAGAACAAGAAAGGTTAAGGGAATTCCCAGGATGATGACAAGGGCCTATCATAGGATGAGAATTGCATACCATGCATAAAAGCCAATCAATCGAAAATGAAGTCAAAAAGCTCTGGGGAAATATGGCTATGTTCAACTGCTTGAAAACTACCTACATGGTAGAAAAATAACAATGTATAAAAACATTTTTACTAGGCATTATGATGATATGGCCAAAAGGGTAAAACTGAGACTACTTGGTAGATATCACACAGATAAAACCATATTTTAGCTCAATAAAAGGAAGAAGTTTGTAATGGTAAGAGTTTGAAAATGAAATGGAATACCTCTGTGGGAACTCTAGTATAGACTGGATGACAATTTAGTAATGACAACAATTAGAAGAGAATGTAAGCTTCCAATGGGTAGCTGAATTAGATAATGATTAGTATTTAAACAAAATATTTCATAATTCCTCTATAAATGCTCTGCCAAAAAAGACAGAAAGTGAAAAAAGGAAAAGAGAAAAAGAAGTTAAGAATACCTTTAAGACATACAGTTTTAAGACCCTCTCTGCTTTTTCTACTTTTGAAGCCAACTTTAGAAGCTAAAATATGTAAAAGTGATTCTAGTGTAATCTCTTTTGAGCAAGGAACCTAGAAGTCAGGATAGGCAATATAGGCATAAAAATATGAGCAAAAGATATTTAATTTTAGGTCTTTTAGAATCCTTCCATAAGTTTTAAACTTCAGCATACCAAAAACTAAGAATGCCAAAGCATTCTATGAGTGATAACGAGGATTAGATAAATCAACAAAGTGGTTAGAAGAGTGCCTGGATTATCAAAACACTATGTAAGTATCAGCTATTATTATGAGTCACTATAAACCTGTGGATTATAGAACATGGACTCTAAAGCCAACTGCCAGGATCAAATCTCCGGTCCTCCACTTACTAGTTATATGTAAGTGTTAGGCAATTTACTAAACCTCTCTGATCCTTAGTTTCCTTATCTGTAAAATGGGGATAATAGCACACCTACTTCACAGGACTGTTGTGAAGATTAAACAAATTAAAACTTGTGAAGGACTCAGTGCCTGGCATATAGTAGGTGCTACATTAAGTGTTAGGTGTTGTTACTATGAAATGGCAGGTACAATTTCCCTTTCTGACTTTTGAAGTTTTCAAAATTCTCAGCTCAAAGAATACAACAGTGAATGGAACAAATGTCTTTTGACAGTAAGTGCGGTTATGAAGCGTATCTATCTAATGAATCAAGTTTCCCTGTTTGACATTGCAAAATTGGAAATTACATAAAAAATGGAATCACATTTTTAAAAAGTACAAAAAATTATACATAAAAGTGCTATAAATTTTTTCCCCTTAAATCACACAAACAAAAAACAAAAATGATTTTATTTTTAGAATACAGATACTATACCAGGGATTGCATTTCTTTGGTGCTAGATTCACATGCAAGAGAGATGAATCCTGAGAGGCTGCCTGACTCTAGCAGTCTGAAAAACATAGCAGCTTGATTTCTTTTCTGCTCTCATCTTTTCCTACTCCAAATAAATAATCAGTTGATGTGAATATTAAATATGCCCAATCAGTATTAAAAGAAACTAACCCTCCTTGTATCATTTGATATATATAAAATGCTACTACAGTCCTCATGTTTAACCCATTTTTTTCCCTTACGCTATAATCTTAGAAAAGAGAGGATAAATAACACCAAGGCAGTAAGTAAAGGACTACAGAATATTAAAATGCCTTACCTGAATGTTACTGCTTTCACAAGGAATGACACTGCTTTCAGCAAGAGGTGACATGCACATATGAGAGTTTTCAATACTGAAGGCAATTCCATTCACAAAATCAGTCATGGGTAAACTCCCATTATCAACAGGCTCCTTAATCCAAGTGTTCTCATCTGCTATCTCTATAGGATCAACCATATCCACAGTGTTATTCTCCTTCTCACTTTCAACATCCTGCAACAGTGCTAATTCTTTCTCAGAAGCACTGGACTGATTTTGTGTAATAGACATGGCAGTCACAACTAAATGTGTGCCATGTGTAGAGGCATCACTATTCAACTGCCGTAGGTGTATTCCAGCAGCATCCATGCCTGGTGATGAAACATCTTTGGAAGGAATATCCTCTTTATCTTCTTTCTCTTCACTGTGAGTCTCAAGAGTAAAAGGTATCTGAATCAGTGAGGTCCGATACTGAGTACCACCTCTACACATCTCGAGTCTCATAGGAGACCAATTTTTAATTGGTGAGCAGCCATCTATATAAGGACTTCTGATACACGGGTTAGTAATTCCATTAGAATTTGTTCCAGATGAAGCATCAGGAGAATGAAAAGCAAACTTCCTTTGTTCTAAAAGATTAGGAGGGAAAAATCACATCATAAAAACACAAAAATAGAAAAGCCATTACTATGGGGTAATAATGTTTCATGCCTAGAAAACTGGATTTCTGTATCAATAGTATTGTTTACTAAAGTGAAATTTTTTCCCTGCCCCCTCAAAGAGAAATTTTGATACTGAAAACAATAACACCAATGAATGTGTCTCAATACGCAGGATGAGGCTCTTCAAAACTAATTTCTCTGGTACTTTTTACTCCTTAAGAATGATTTCCCTAAAAGCATACTGCTATTATACCGATATTGTTCATATACAAAGAAGATCCCTAGCAAAAGAGCTGAAAGCTACAACTCAACAGCTGTACCTGCTAAATGAAATATGTTAAATATATTTATTTATGCAAAATACCATAAGCAACATGAAAAGACAAAACTGGAAAATAATATTTGCAATAAAGAGGCTAACAATGATAATCAAATAATAAAAATGCTTTAAAACTTTTAAAACTACTTTTTATTGGCTGGGCATGGTGGCTCACGTCTGTAATCCTAGCACTCTGGGAAGCCGAGGCAGGAGGATCGCTCAAGGTCAGGAGTTCGAAACTAGCTTGAGCAAGGGCGAGACCCTGTCTCTACTAAAAACAGAAAGAAATTAATTGGCCAACTAAAAATATATAGAAAAAATTAGCCGGGCATGGTGGCATATGCCTATAGTCCCAGCTACTTGGGAGGCTGAGGCAGAAGGATCACTTGAGCCAAGGAGTTTGAGGTTGCAGTGAGCTAGGATGATGCCACAGCACTCTAGCCTGGGCAACAGAGTGAGACTCTGTCTCAAAAAACAAACAAACAAAAAAATCTCTACTTTTTATAACTTAATTAAGTTATAAAGAGCTTAACAAAAACAAAATTTTTAAAATGGGCAAAAGCACATAAATAATCTTCCAGATGGTAAATAAGCATACTAAAAGTGTTCAGTCACACAAGTAATAAAAATATGGAAGCTGTAGCAATGAGAGACCATTGGTTTAACAACGCTTAAGTCTGAACTAACAATCCCCCCCGCACCAAACCACAAATGGCCAATAAACATTTGGAAAAAGTTCAGCATCGTTAATGACCAAAGACAGAAAATTTAAAGCCATAAGAGATCTTTTTGTAATGTACCCAATTAGTAAACATCAGATAGAATAATACCAGTGTTTCTGGATGGGGGAGAAATAACTTTCTTACATACTATTGAAGAAAATTTCAATTGGTACACTCTTTTATAAGAAAATTTGGCAAAATTCATCAAGAGCCTTAAAAATATTCACCTCCTTTGATGAAATAATTCTACTTCTTCGAGTTTAACTTACAGATATATAAATATGTGCAACACAATGTATACTTTTGTGATAAAGAAAAATTAGAAAAAATTTAAGTGTTTAACAATGGTTGAAAATAAATGATATATCCAAGAAACAGAATATTACATGACAATTCAAAATCATGCTTTGAGACAATAATAAATGACTTGAACAACCTATGAAAATGGTCATAAAATGCTTTGTGCACATGTATGCATCCATATATGTACATCTATATACATACCCCCACACACAAAGACTAGCAAAATACAGTTTTCAACTTTCCAATTTTGTTTAGTATGAGTAGTTTTTTTAAACTGTGAAGTTTTCAAAAAGTGCTATAATTTTTTCAAAGAGAAATTCACAACTGCAGAGAAATGTGTAAATTTCTACACATTATATTTACCTGAAAAACCTTAAACAAATGTACCTTTACAAAATATGAATACCTGATTACCAAAGTCTAAACCTATAAGTCAGAAGGCATACAAAAAACCACTTGTCTCTAAAATTACCATCTTTCATTGATAGCATGTTTGACGTAAATATTGCTAATCAAAGTAACTCTATTTAAAACTAGAGTGGAAATTTGATGAGAATTCTAGCCTTTGAAGGTAAATTGTTCCTTTTGTGTAAAAAAAAAAAAATAAAGTTTCTAAATGTTAGATTAGCTATGATGTAGAGCTCTATAGTTAAAGCAAACAAATATTGACAGGAAGTTTTCACTAGGTATTTTATTAGGAAACATACCTGAGAGTGGAGTCTTTCTTATTTGAAATGCAATTGGTGAGAAAGTAGGTGAAGAAATAGGTGAAGGACTGGTTATGCTTCCCAAACTGTATTTTTTTGCACTAGCCTGAATAGGGCTAGAAGAAAACTGCCCCTGTGATAAAAATAAATAAATAATAAATAAATGAATTTAAATGGTTCTCTTCCTCAACTCAGTTATTCTGCATGCTATTTATCTTCATCTTCAAAACAGATTTATAAACTAGGAATCTAGTTTATAGATTCATAAGAACTGGGTTCACAAGAACCACCAAAACCCATCTTGTAACAAAGATAACTAAGAAGATTGCTACAAAAATTGTGGAATAGAATATGTTAGTCAAAGTATAAATGCATTGTGTTTAAACAAACCATTAAATTTCATACCAAGTAGGTATCTGTGAAAAATTTTTAAATATTTTACTCCATTAATGCTACTCCAGTTGTGTTATACTGTAAATCTTACGTAATTCTGTAAATCTTACATAAATCTTACTGTAAATCTTAATACTACTAATACAAATAGTATGTTGAATGAGATTCCTTGAGGCTCGTGATAAATTTGGTCATCCCCTACACCTCTAAATACAAACTTGGAGAGAGTCTGACCCCAAAACATGCCTATGTCTAATGACAACATATGAACTAGGTTAGTCTTCATGAAGTAGAACTCCTAAAAGACAACTATTCCTCCTGAGTGCAATAATGAGCATCTAGGTCTAAGCACATCTACAGAAAATTAACCAGCCACTTTTTAGCATACTTCTTACCGAACTTGGTGTCTGCGCAGGGCTCCTACACTGTACAGGAGATAAATCTATTGAATAAAAAACCTCAAGTGACGCCTGAGCACTGCTACGAGGACTTCTGGAAGAAGCTGAAGGTAAGGAGTCAGAGATGCTTCCGTTCCCATCTAGAAACAGCTTTCTTCTGAGGGATGAAGAACTGAGGTTTCCAGGAGATTGATCTGCAAATTCATCAGCTCTAAAATAGTCACCTATATTTAATAACAGAATAAAATGTAAAACTAGCCATTCGGAAGAGCAATTATACTTCTGTTGCCTGACTTTTTAAAAACCAGCATGTACTATATGTTTGAATTTTTTCAAAATACAGAACAAAATTTAATTGTATATGTAATGTTTTAAATCTTAAATTATTCCTTGTTACTTATTTTTTATTTTATTTTTTTAGAAATAGGGTCTCGCTCTGTTACCCAGGCTGGAATGCAGTGGCCTAATCATAGCTCACTGCACCCTCAAGCTCCTGGGCTCAAGTGATCCTCCTGCCTCAGCCTCTTGAGTATCTGGGATAACAGGCATGTACCACCACGCCAAACTATTCTTTATTTTTTGAGTGCTTCGTTATTAGTGTAGGTAATAACGATAAAATATTTACAGTGTATGTCTATAGTGAAATTTATTACAATAAAAAGGCTAGTTCATTCTGTATTGCATAAATCCTGGTAGTAAAGAAAAAAGAAAAAGAATAAAAATGTAAAAGAAAAAAAATTATAAATATTTTAAAAAATTTTTTTAAAAAAGGTTAATTCAGACCATGTTCAACAAAAAGAGAAATTTCTGGACAGTTTCCCCTTTAGAAAGAGGATTATCACATATTACCATTTACAAAAAGCCAGCAAAACAAAACTTTTAAATTATTAAAGGTTTAAACAAACATAATATTTACCTAATATATTTTCTAAATTAAAATCCACAGGAAGAGACAGCAATGTCTGACAAGCAGCTGGAAGCAAGCAAATAAATAAATAAATAAATACAAACATAGATACATCAATGAAGGCATCTGACATGCCATTTAGCATGTGCTTCCCAATCAATCATCTCCCCAGGCTATTCCAGCCAAACAGAATTATTCTATTTCCGCATTCTATTATATACCATGCCACTTTCCTATGAGCAGTTTCCCATACTTTCCACCACCGATACAAACATGTTAATAGAAAAAGTTAACTCCTGGCTATCATTCTGGCACTTGAATTAAGAAGGAAGCCAGCCTATGTTTGGGGGCAGTTTTTCCACACTAACAAACTTTCAAAAGAATACTTTCCAAAACCAGAAATCAATTCACACTTTGAACAAGAAAACAACACACTATTGCATTTCTAAAACATGGCTGGATGTATTTATCTGTTCTACTATATTTGTTTCTAAAAGTCAGCTCTCATACAATTATTTAGCTCATTCATGACAGATAAACAATTTCAATTCCAGAGGAAAGTGTTACTACATAACCTGGGCTTAAAATCAAATGTAGCTTAATATGGATCGCATTTCTTTTCAGATTGTGTTCACACTCACCATTGCTTTTCTCAGAATGAATAGTCAGCTTTTTTCCAATTGGAGAGTCACTATATATGTTAATGCCTATAAAACATTTTAAGGACAAAATCTTACATTTTATATCCTTCATTTACTTTAGTATTTACTTTTTCCAGAGTAAAAAATCAAAATGAAAACTTTTATTTTACACCTTTTAAAAAAGTATTTTTTGGCATGTTTGTTAGGTTGATTATTTCTTTAACGTGGAGGAAATACAAGGATAAAAGTAAAGGATTATAGCAAATAAAGAGACAGCAAGTAATGCTTTCTTTTTTCATTTTTTTAAATGACAAATATTTACTGCGTATATTTATGGGTACAATGTGATGTGTCTGTACATGTATGCATCGTGGAAAGAGCAAACCAGGCTAATTTACATATCTATTACCTCACATATTTTTCATTTCTTTGTGGTGAGAACATTTAAAATCCACTCATACAGCAATTTTGAAATATGCAATTCATTATTATTAATTATAGTCACCTTGCTGTGCAATAGATCACCACAACTTATTCCTCCTAACTGAAACTTCGTACCCTATGACCAACATCTCCCTGACTCCCCCAGCCCCTGGTAACCACTATTCTACTTTACTTTTTATGAGTTCAAATTTTTTAGATTCCAAATATAAGTAAGATCATACAATATTTGTCTTTCTGTGCTTGGCTTATTTCACTTAGCACAGTGCCCTCTAGATTCATCCATTTTGTCACAAATGACAGAATTTCGTTCTTTCATAAGGCTAAATAGTATTCCATTGTGTACTTACACCACATTTTAAAATCCAATCATCTGTTGAATACTTAAATTTTCTTTTTTGTTGTTGTTTTTAAACAAGTCTGTGCTTTTCCTCAGTACGAGCTTTTTCCTCGTGCGAGCACGTTCTCTCTCTCTCTCTTTCTTTTTTCACAAGCCTGTGCTTTCCTATCTTGGCTGCTGTGAATAGTACTGCATTTAATATGGGAATGCAGACATCTCTTCAAAAGATTGATTTCAATTCCTTTGGATAAATACCCAGTAGTGGGACTGATAAATCTTTCTAAGGAAAGCATGGTTGCTCTCCATGATGTCAACCTTAAAAGGTTAGGGCTATATTTTATTCGTCTTCAAATAGATCCTCTGTCACTTAAGGTTTTCCCAAAATGGGTTTAGATAAACTGTCTGGATTAAAATGCCTGAAATCTGATCAATAAAACCATGCAGTTTCTTTCACAACAGCAGTCAAAAATATGGGTGCAATTTTTTTTAAAAAAAAACTGTAAGCTTTACAACTTGAAAAATCACCAAATTACAAACATCTAAACAATGATGAAAATGACCAATATAAGCAAAATAAAGGGAAAAAAGCAAGGAAACAAAACAAAACAAAACAACTCAAAACGAGAAGCTTAAAATGACAGAATAGATTCTAGTAATGTGAAGATCCTAAATTAAAAAATGAATGAGTGGGTGGGTCCGTGAATGAATTAAAATCCCCAGTTAAATACTATCAGAATGGGTAGAACAATAAAACAAAAAATAAAATTCTGGATTCAGATGCCATCTTCCCTGTAGGCATGGTGACCTATTATATGAGACAAATGCAATCAATGCTTTCTCTGACTAAAATCCTATAGCAGCCATTAGGATGAGGTCCAAATATCTCAATGCCTTACAAAGCCCTTCAAAATCTTGTCTAATTCTCTAGCATGGTTGCCATCCAACTAAACACTATTTAGTTGAGTACCTTAAAAAAATTAAAAGGTTTTTCTCTCACCTCTAGGTATTGTCTTATGCTCTTTCCTTTCTGCCTTTTCTCCCCATTCCCTGAGTCTGACTAACTCAAATCTCAGCTTAAATTGCATCTTCTACCAGCATGCCTTCCCTGCCCTCCTCAGACCAGATATTATCACAACGCTTTTCAACCCTACTACAAGTGCTTTCTTGTTTCCCCTAGAAGAACTTCTTAAACAAGTTTAAGACCACAATCAAATGAAGGAAAAATTGATGGATTTGATTACATCAAAATAGGAATTTCTACGTGAGCAAGGACATCAAGAACAAACATAACATACATATTACAGAATGGGAGATGACATTTGAAATGTTTAAAATCAGTATCATTACAATATGTAAAGTATCTTAGAAAAAAAAAAGGACAGCATCTCCAATAGGAATATGACCAATGAATCACAAATAGGTATTTTTCAGGAGAGGAAATTTTTTTTTTAAATAAAAAAATTTTTTTTTAATTAGTCAAATTTAGCAGTGGGGATTGAATACCAACTTTAGTGATATTAATGTTAATAAATTCTGCTAACCTACTACCATTGGACCAGCCAGGAGAGGAAATTAAAAAGGCCCTTAGTATATGAAGACAAAACAAAAATTAAAATGATCATTTGCTGGATAATGCCAAGCATTGGGAGGGATATTGGAACATAGGACAACCCTAGACACTGTTGGTGGCTGTGTAAACTGTACAAACATTCTGGAGAGCAGCATTTTAGCACTGTGTAGTCAAATTAGGTAAACACATATCCTATAATTCAGAAATCTTCTGCCTGTGTATACATTCCAAATGAATTCTCATTTAAGTCCATAAACAAAAACTCATGAGGATATGCACTGAAGCACCTTGCTACATAAATATTTGTCATAGTAAAAGCTAACAGCACAAGCTAAGATGTATAAACAAAACCACTTTCCCCCCATTAATCATTTTCTTTGTTAATCTTTAATAAAGCATGTGCTAGGTACATGATCTTAGAGGTACATCAACAACCATCGTTTTATAGGTAAGGAAACTGAGGCACAGGAAAGCTAAGTAACTCGGCTAAAGTCACCCAGTGAGTGAGCTTTACTGGATACATTTCAAACTCACACAATATTACTCTACAGTAAGGGTCAGCAAACTAAGGCCCATGGCACAAACCTGACCTGTCTCCTATTTTTGTAAATAAGGCTTTACTGGAACATAATCCCCCTCACTCATTAACATATCGTTGGTGGCTGTTTTTGTGCTATAGCAATAGAGTTGAACAGTTGTGACAGAGACTGTGTGGTCTGCAAAGCCTTAAATATTTAATTTTGGGTTCTTTACAGATAAAGGTTGCCGACCTTAGCCCTAAAGGAGTGTTGTCCAATAGAACATTTTCTGTAATGATGGAAATGTTCTATGTCTACACTATCCAATATGGTCACCAATAGCCACATGTGGTTATTAAGTACTTGAAAATGTGAATAGTGTGAATCAGGAACTCAATTTTTAATTTTAATTTTTAAATTTAAATAGTCACACATGCCCAGTGGCTACCATATGTCAAGAAGTATGAAGAATCTAAGATTATACCCTACTTGCTAGTTAACAGGTAAACATATCAAAGTTCTGTGGCTGTTGGCTGAATACATGAGGCTTCTGGGAAAAGACAAAGGATTTCATTATTCTCAGTGTAGCAGGCAGCATGACCTTAATGTTCGTATCAATTCCCTTTGTCCCCAAGTGCCAAGGAGGTGACATGAAACAGCCTGGTGTGGTGAATTTTTATAATTTTTAATATAAGCCAGATTTTTCCATACCAAAAGCAGGGCTCAGTAATCTTGCCAGAGTTTCCAGTTCTATACCTTTATGGTCAGTCCAGATGTCTGACTTACCCAAACTTCCTCCTGGTGACCACCTCCCTATGGGACAGCTACATCTAGCCTACCTGACTGGTCCTGCTGACTTGCACACCCCACAAGGACTGTGCAGATAGGCCACAGTGACCACCTGTCAGTCACTGCTCGACTTCCTGGAACTCCTGCCTGCTTGCTTTAAACCCGCCAGCTCCCCAAAAGAAACCTATCTGAATAATGCTCTGGACCCGCAGGTCCCTTTCTCTCTCTCCCTGACCTCCATGTATGTGGCCTCCAGGCATGCTATGTACCCCCCACGACTCGTAAGTAGTAAAATCTTTATTTCCATCTTCTGTCTCCCCTAATCACTGGAGGAGTGCTATCTTAAAGATCCCAAATTAAAATACCCAAGTGAATGGTACACACACAGTGGGTTTTCATCACAGCTAAGGGACCCCAAGCTTAGGAAATCTCATTCTTTTATAATAGACTGCAAGCAAATCTGCTCCAGAGGGAGACATCATCTTTATTACACTGGATAGCAAAACAAACTCACCCTCTTCCCTGGTGGGACACACTGTCTCTATCTTCCAAGGATGTTCATGGTACAAACATCCTTGAAAAGATAGTTTGCAAGAACCTATCCATGCCACCCCTCAAAAGATGTACAGAAATGAGAGATCTATGGAAAATTGTCTCCCAATACCATATTACATAACACAATTCTGAGCCCATCTGTTAACCACTGTGCTCTCATCGTGGGCTTGATTTTCCAAGAGTCTACAGTATTTTTAGCATCTTCCTGATCCTACATCACTTCACTAAAACAGGATACTTGGAATACTTAATGATGTTATTAAAAGGATCACAAAAGAAGGTTGATTCATCTGTTAAAAAATCCAACATTAAAGAACTTTGGGGAAAAAAACTAGCACTAGCATCTATGAACATGTCACCTTAGACATAGAATGCTGGGAGGGATATTAATAGAAAATTCTCTATTTCAATCCTTTTTTTACACAAATAAAAATCTGACATTCAAAGAGACTGAATAATTTGATCAAGGTCATCCCTCTGGTTTATAGTAGCAGGAGGTTTATAATCCAGATCTATATCCACTATCACAAGTTACCAACGGTTTGTAATAGCTAAGAATACAGAATCTGATTGGAGAATGCCTAATTTTGAATCCAAGTTCTACCACTTTTATTATCTCTGTAACCCTGGAAAAGTGCTCTAATCTTTCTAAAAGTAGGTTTTCTCACTTATAAAATGGGGCCAACAATTGCACCTATCTCATACAAGTTGTTGTAAGGAATTACTGAAAGCACTTAGCACTGTCCTGGCACAGAGAATGTACTCAAATCCATTTTATTTATTATTGTTGTGTTTTTGATAAAGAATGGAACAAATATTCCCTGTATACTGAGACCATAATTAAGGTACGCTACACAGAAAATGGGTAATTCCACTGCAATGAGGGATGCATATATGTAAGTGATATTTGAACACTGTCTCACAAACCAAAGGGCAGTGAGAGCAAATATAAGACAACCACTGCCTGGAGGTAGAAAGATATTTGAAAGATTACTGGCTTGCCCTTTAATTTCCTTATTAATTTTGCAGATAATCAGATGTAATACACTGTCTCAGAGGTCATACAAGTCTCCATCCTTCCTCCACCTTCATAAGAAATCAGCAAATTAGCAAAAAGCAAAGCAATTTAAGGATTTTATTTAAAATATTAACCTTCAAAAGCATTGCTAAGATCAACAACTCAGCTCTATATTCGATACCAACTGTTTCTTCATCTATGGATCCTCTATAATAACCATAACTGATATTAACAATGGTCATGAGGAAAAAGTTAAATTCAGAACAGAATAGCCAAAAGAAAAATTCAGTGTATTTTAGTCAAATTTTGAATCCTAACCCTAATAAGAACTAAGTCCTCTATTATCCTGAAATTTAATTTAAAACAAGCTCCTTACCAAAACAGATAAACTGACACTTGACTGTATGTTCCTTTACATTCACTGATTTTTATTCATATGATTTTTAGTGCACTCACATTTACTGGAATGATACTGTGAAAGCTGTTTCCCTTCATGATCAGTCCAAGGAGAGGGTACGATGACATCTTTAGTGAAAAACTAGGAAAATTAAAGTCATACAATTAGGCATAACTTCCCCCAAAATGTGAGAAGGTACCTGTGTTACCTTCAAATAACCAATAATCATGTGATATGCTGACTTTCACATTTAAAATTTGTAGTCCTTACAAGCACAAATGAGCAAAAGTGACATGGAAGAAATTTAAAGTATTTATAAAGAGAAAGCTTAATACTTCACATCAACAACTTAAAATTGAAACTTGCAAATTAAGCTAAGGGCACTAATACTTTAAATTTCTCCCCCACTTTTTGGGGTGTTGTGTGACAAAAGGGATCATGAAGAGGAAATGAATAAATGGAGACAGATGTGTGTTAAGTAAGCCAGTATGAATGGTATGGCGGAGCTGGCTGGGTTCTACTGGCTTTTGAGATCTGATTATTAAATTTTCAGGAATTTTGCGTATCAGTTTTAAAAATGCCAATTTTAAAAATAATGACAATTTATAATTAAATAAATTTTATTAAAAATAAAGGTAATAAGTATTCAAAACTCATCATTTGCTAATTACTACATTTACCAATATCTATGCTCTGGAGGTTAATTATGTCTTTTTATCTGTGTGGTGGAATTCTCACATAATGATGTGCCACTGTACTTTTTTTCCCATTCAGTGATGTCACATCAGTGCTTGAAATTGGACATGACTGGAGTATTTACTCTATGGATAGCAGCAATCACTAAAAAGAATACTCTTCCTATGACCAAAGGGCCAGCTGTTAAACATTTACCAGCTCACCACTGGGCAGCATACTCAAATGCAGATAGGGCACTTGGATATAATTATTTCCTCTTTCATTCCTAATATAGTATTCTTTCCCTTCCCTATGTTTTGGGAGTAACTGAAAACATCTTTTTTATATTTGCCTACACATACGACAGAATTGATTTTCTTTAACTAAACTACCTATGAATTTATGAGGAAAATATGAAAAAAAGAGGAGGGGTCAGATTATGATATAGACAATTTCCAGGAGAAAAAGAAATGGAAAGGACCCATACATTTAGGAAGTGATACATTAAGTTCACTTAAAGGTAAAGAAATATAATACTAAATGACAGGATGTTATTTTAAAGTAATAAGAATAGCACAAATTAAGAAGTATGATGATAATTAGTATTAGAGATGTGAAAAAATAGGCAGTATGATAATGTAATATAATAATGTACACAGGACTGTAAATTGGTATAACCTCTTAGGAGGGCAATATAGTAAAATCTACCTAAGCTAAAAATTCACAAAGCTTCTGACTTAGAAGGTCCATTTCAAGAACACAGATATATGTACAAATCACTGCAGCACCAAAGCATTATTTGTGACAGAAAAATAATGAACACAACTTAAACATCTGTCAATAGGGGCAGAGTTACTATGCTGTTACTAAAAGATAAAAATCTGTATATGCTGACTATAAAAACAAACAAAAACAAGATGCAAAATAGTATGAAAATGATGATCCTATTTGTCTAAAACAAGGGTCCTCAAACTTTTTAAACAGGGGTCCAGTTCATTGTCTCTCAGACTGTTGGAGAGTGTGGCGCAAATTCCACACATGTGCACTGTGGGCCTGGGAGAGTCGGCTACTAAGCAGGACAGGCAGCAGCAGCAAAAACACCCGGCAGGCCGCATGTGACACACGGGCCATAGTTTGAGGACGCCTGGTCTAAAATATTTAAAGGATATATGCTATTATATACATAAAATTAATCTGAAGTATACATAAGAATTATTACAGTAGTGGGAGTGTTTAAGAAGTGGGAGGGGAGAAATGAGGCTTTTCATTTTCATTTTATATTTTTTCTTTGCACTTGAATTTTCTTTACCATGTGCATGTATTTATTGTATTTTCAAAAATATATATTGAAAAAATTTTAATTTGTTTCTGATACATTAGCCCTAATCTTCACTCTGACTTCATTTTCTTAAGGATTACCTGCTGAATTTCCTTTTAAAGTTGAGAATTCTAAAAAGAGAGAGTACTTTCCAAAATGTCAGGAATTTACAAAGAGTCTAAGAACAGTCAGCTGGGAAGCACCAAGTGATTGGATCAGAATGAAAATTGTAAAGTTACTAGATAAAGAAGTAGGTAATATGTGGCAGGAATAAACATATGTAACTGCATTCTAAAAAATAGGCTGAGGGAACAACACTTACACTAAAAAAAGTAAGTGCAAGAGAAGCCCAGACATCACCTGATCTTTGAAAATGCCAGAGCAGAAATCTTTTGGGGTTCAGAGAGCCAAGTATACCAAAAGAATGGAGGTAGCTTGAGGGGGATATGGAGGGGGCAAGGTAAAAGTCAGAAATGTTTCTATGACATAAAGACTTCCTGAAGAAAGAAATAGACAGATACCCCTTACTGATACTCTAAGAAAAGGAGTTAAACAAACAAAAAAGCAAAAAGCGAACAACTTAGTTTATTTTTATTTTAAAAAACTCCACATTTATAATATACACTTTCTGTTTTTACAGGAAGACATTTTATTTCATGAAATAGACTCTATGTCTTAAAAATCCAAAGTCTTCACATCAAAAGACAAAACCATTACCAACGCCAATCTAGATTGTAAAGGCCCGAAAATATTCAACTTCCTTTACATAAACGTCAACTGGAAACAGAAGTTTGTGCCAATCAATATTCTGAAAGCACAAGGAAGAAAAATTATGCTAGGTCCTGACAATGAAAAGATGAACGAAGCACAATACTGGCCAAAAAAGAATTCAGTCTAGGGCAGAGAAATATTAAAGTGATCACTGTAACAGTATATAAGTACTATGGTAGTGGAATAGCTGAAAATCATTTGTCTTAGGAAAGCACAGAAAGGTGCTTATATAGTGGGGCAGGGGAGGGCAGGTGGGGAGATGAGACAGTGAAAGATTTGCAGAAAGTCTTCCTAAAAGAGGCCACACACATGCAGAATTGATCCTTAACTGGCTTAATGATCAGTAACAGTTTTAAGTTACCTCTTCAATGGCTTTTTGTCTTTTGTCTTCCACATCTTTATCTATTCTATATAAAGAAGAAAAATAACCATGCCATTACTTAAGCTTATTGAACATTTAAAATAATAACCTTTCAAAGAAATAATTTCCCTCTGTTGAAAACTGGCAAATGTTAAGCTCACTTTAAAATAAAAACTGGTATCTTATATTTAGCGAATGGCAGTATTCTGAAATTGAACATTTAGCTATTAGGCTTACCTCCCTCTTTTCCATTCAAAGCTTGAATAGAATAATATTTTCTCTTACAAGACTTACATTGATATAATTTTTAAATTGCTATTGACAACATAAAGTAATCTGAATAAACTTTGTCCTTTAATCAACACAAATTAAGAAGTATTTAATCCGACACACATCTAAAAATTGCCCAAATTCTTACTTTTCGATTACAGCAAGTTTATCATAGCAATAATTTTAGAATCAACTTTTACTCTAAAATTGAAAAAAAGAAACTATCATCCTTATGGTTCTGAATAAACAGGCAAGAATATTAATTCTGAAATAAAACCTCAACAATATAAAATTTTCTCCAAATGAATTATTATTTTTTCACTCTGGTACAATATGCCATTACAGCAACACAAATTTCTCAGCTATAAGATTTAATAAAAAATGTCGGGTCTCAAGCACAAGGCATGTACTTGCCAGCAACTCAGCAGTTAGCCTTGTAAGACCACTTCTTTTTTCCATTCTAGGAAAGAATGCTTGCTTTCCATCAATAAATTGGTAAGATACCTTTTTACAACAATTTAAAGTGATTTTCTCTCAGAAATTTTTCATGTATATTTATTCATGGCTTAACAAAGTTTATGTGAGAATATACACATTTCAGAAATTTAAATCAAGCACATTTTTCAAGTGGGAGAATTGTAAGAAAATAAACTACAGGGATAATCCAAATATCCCAGCTTGAATAATAGCCATTTTGAGGCTAATAACTCAGTTCTCTTCATCTTATCACAGTTATGGCCAGGTCAAAATAACAAAGCATAATAATCTTAGCAACTGAACTAAACTCTGAACTTGTCATTACCATATTCAGAAGCCTTTTGCTACTGCATCTGAGGGACTTTAAGAACCAGAAATATTCAGGTGATTGCTGGAAACAGTAAAAATCAATGGGACCAAATATTGTAGAGCCATATTATAGAAGGTTCTAAGAGGTCATACAAGGCAGAGTATCCTGACTAGCAACCCACTGAACACAGGTATGATGAATACAGGTAATAGGTATGCCATGAATGTAGTTCCTTTGGGGGTTAGGTAGGGAAAGAGAGAGGACTTTTAGAATTGGTCACCTCCTGTGTGGACAAGACTCATTTGTTTACACCGGTATGCCTTACAGGTATCATTTTCTGTGTGGGCAGTGGCATGAAACAGATATGAAAAACTCAAACAGAGAGCTCTGATTAGGTAAAAAGAGATATTGGAAGCTATTACTTATTTCTAAGGATGGAATCGACATGCTCTCTTAAGAATATGCTCACTATCCTTGGTAGAAGCCTTAACCATTTGTTGAATTACATTAGTAAATTAAATTAAAATTAGGACAGTTTCCCATTCTTTCCTCCTCTTTTATATAAAAAAATCTAATTACTGAAATACATTTATAAACATACACAGACAATACATAATTTATCAATAAGTATAGACACGTGCTGCAACTTTGGTCAAATTATATCGCTCACTCTTGAGAGCAGGAATAATATCCTGCCCTTCTCTCTACCAATAAGATATAGTAATTATCTATGATTCAATATATTGAAGACATGAGGCAAAATAATTTAAGCACACATTTTGTGCGAAACAAAAAAATTAGTCATTAACTGTGACTCATTTGTTTTTTGATATTCTTTTCAGCTTCTCTTTCAAAGGTATTATTTAAATTTAAGTTAAAATGCTTTTGTGCTTTGCGCTCATTCTCTTCCTGTAACACTTTGCATGGACATTCATTAACTATGAGTGAATGCTCATCAAGTTACCAAACAAAGAGAGCATGGAGGAGAAATGCCAGGTAAGTATTTGCAAGAACATCTCCACGTGTGTGCATTTTTATGTGATTGAATTCTAAAGTCAAAGGGAAAAGAGTTATCCTTTGTTTTGGATTGAAAAGACATCTACCTTAGGATAGAAAGTTAAAAGCTGGTCATATAATGATTTGAGTTTTTCCAAATATAAAAAAACCAGACTATAACACTGATAAAAATGAAAGACTCACTAAAACTATAAAAGAATAATATTACCTGACAATTTGTGATTAAAAACTAAGTCTGTTTCCCCAAAGAAGTGCTTGTTATCACTACATTAGACATCATTAATCAGCACAAGTCTGAGGCACATTTGTGCCTTGAAACCTACACAACAGATTGACAAATAAGTTAAGACTGCACTGGGTATTATGTAGAATCCTAGAAATTGTAATTCAGACTCCACAAGTAAACTATGTCAAAGCTGGTTGATATCTAAAAAAGCTCTCTGTTGTGAATGAACACCATTCAATTCAACGTGTCTTTAACTTGTTAAGGGGATTTTAGGCTTCCCTAAATATAGATAGCAACTAACTGGCATTTTGCTTTACCCCAAACTACTAAAAAAGAAAACAAAAGTCAATGGCAGAAGCCACAACCATGCAAAAAGGTACAAATGTCAAAATGCCCTTCCTTCTACCAAATGCTGGGAGGCAGACCTGTCTCGTAAGTAGCAAGGGAGAAGATTATCTTTAAAAGAAAAGGATTTATATCCAGATTTGGAACCATTAGCAAGAAAATCTTTCTGGATATAGTCCTTTGAATTCATGCATTTAGATGGGAAAAATCTGAATCAAAATATTTTCTCTGATATCTTTACATTATAAAAATATTCAACATTTAGAATTTCCTGTTTCTTCACTTGACAGTGTTATTACACGTAAGTGCAAGAAAGGAAAACTTACCGAGAATGACTTAAGTATAAAGCTTGACGATGAATATCTTCTGGATCTATTTCTACAGGATTTATTACAGCTAGTTGATCGATAGACCATCTAAATTTCCCTGGAGTCTTAACAAAAGAAAGCGAGTTTATAAGTAAAAGCAGACTAAAATAGTTCATTAAAATGCCAACCATTGTCGCCTTCAAAAATAATGTGAATGGTTACAATATTTTAAAGCTTATATTTTAAAATTTGATTTTACCACTAAATTAAATGGCATATGGTGATAAAATCACCCTAAATGAACTGACTTGACTGTACGTATCTCCTTTAAAAAAATCTTCTACTTGGTAATTTTAAAAAATCACATAATACTAGAAAAATCACAACAGAGTAATAAAGGTATAGGTATAAAACTTCCACAATTGACACTCTTCAATGATGCACTATGCCCATGTAAAAGTAAAACTCTATCTTAGAGTTATCAAAAGGTCTTTACTTTCACTAAGAATAAACTGAAATTAAACAAAGTCCTAACTACGGAAATGGCTGCAAAAGCTCATAAAAAGTTGATCCTTAAAACAAATATGAACTATTCATATTTATTAAACTATTCAAATGAACCAAAAGCTTATCCAAATCTTAATCTGTAACTAGCAGTTTATTTTAGACAAGTTCAGGCCTAAAAACTCAAGATGCCATACATTCTAACTTTGAGGATTAAGTTATAGTCAATCCATTGTTTATTTTTATTAAGACTAAAAGATAATTAAATTTTAATATGATTCATTTAAAAAATCATAAGGTCAGATTAATGATTCAATATAAACTGCAACACTGCTCAACTTTCTTTTAATGCATACCTGTTCATCGTCCAAGCTGATATGAAAAGGTAGCAGAAAACAGCCACCAAGTTTGCAGTTGTTCTAGGTAATGTGAAACATCAGACATCAAAAGAACTTCTCCAGTATAGCAAGTAACAGTAAAAATAAGCTAAAGTGATAAAGCCTTCCTAATCTCTAAAGAGCACTTTCCTTTCATATCACCATTGTGCTAATCATCGCACATATCACATTGTTCTGAAACTGCTCATTTACTTGTGTCTACCCCATTAAATAGGGGTTGCCTTCTTTTAAAAGAAGGCAAGCTAAGAATGGTTTTGACATTCTTAAATGGTTGAAAAAAAACCCCAAAATATTAATATTTCTTGACACCTGAAAATTATATGAAATTCAAATTTCAGTGTCCATAAATAAAGCTTTACTGGAACATAGCCACATTTATTTGTTCACACATTGCCTATGGCTGCTTTTATGATATGAGGCAGAAGTGACTAATTGTGACAGCCATCAAATGATCAGAAAAGCCTAAATATTTATTGTCTGGCCCCTGACAGAATAAGTTTGCTGACCCTTACATTAGAGTATAAGCTCCTTGAGGATTTGTGCCTAATGATCCTAATTTGTGCTCAGTGTAACCCCAGTGCTTAGCATCATATCTAATACACAGCAACACTCAATGTTTGTTAAAATGAGAATAATTAGATAATACAGCTTCTTTTATAATATTATTAGATATATCATCAACCATAGTATCCAGCTCCTACAACTTCAGGAGCTGGATAACATATGTTATCTCTTGAATTAAAAAAAAAAAAAACAACAAAAACAAATGCTAACTTAAAAAAAAAATCTTCTAGCTAACTTATTATTAGCCCAACCATGAGACTATCATGGACACTATAATTAAAAAAGCACATTGCAACTATATATCCTCCATGATGTATTTCCCCTTTACCTTGTAAAAAAAAAAATAAGTTCACATTTAAAATTATTTGTAATTATGTACATTTAAAATTAGTGGTAAACACTAGTCAAGATTAACTTACTGGTAATTTTGTTGATTTAAAAACCGAAGGGCTGGCAAGAGTTTGTTCATGAAGATTAGAATAATCACTAGGACTTTCAAAAGGATTTAAAACAGGGATCCTTCCTGGAGTTTCCGGTGTTATTTGCATTTTTGATTCTTTGACATCTCCCATAGCCTAGAGAGAAGGCTAAAAAGAAATCAGAAGAATGCTTGTTAAAACTACAAAGTTCTAGCGATCCTCCAAATAGCCTTGAAAGCTACAGAGGTTTTAGTGCTATAACTGTGCAGAAGAATTAACAAGTTCAGAGAAGTGGCTTACAAGTTAACAGTCAACCAAATATGAATGAGTTCAGACTTGCCTTTGAGACTACTAAATCCCTTTTCAATTTCAGGACTTACATCTATGGTTTTTTATTCATTACCTCAAATCTCTAAACACTATGAACATCCTTCGGATACCCCAGCAATTTCCCTAACAAACTATAGTTGCAATTAAACAATTCTTTGTAGCAAGGAGATAAGATCACACGACACTTGTGCCCTTCTTGCCCACTGGTCCTAGCCAGAGAAGTATGACTGACAGGGGCTAGGAAATTAACCGTCTCTGGGAGCCTTTCCTCAAACATCTGCCTTTCGCCAAGACCCCCCGCAGTCCCCCTCCCCAGGACAGAAAGCGAGACTGCATCCAATCAAAGGCGGCTGCAACCAGGAGGGCGAGAGAGAGAAAAAAGACGACTCTACTACTGAATGCCTGAAGTGCAGCTGGCTCGGTCGGGTGAAGAGCAGAGGAGGTGTCGCCCCCAACCCTACGCGATCGCTCCTCCTGGGCGCCCCTCTCTTCCGCACCTACTCCCTCGCTGTTCCCACTCACCGTGGGCGAGTGGGCAGGCAGGTGCAGAGCTAGGAAAAGTGAGCTTTCCGATTCGAGACAGGAGGAAAGGCCAGGGACTACAAAGACCGCACCTACCTGCGTATTTAAAAAGGAAGCCCCCAACACCGGCTCCAGGGTGCTCCCGGGGGCCGAGCCAGACCCCACGACAGGCACAGACTCTTTAACTCCCCGCTTCCGCGCTGGCTCAGGCCAACCAGCGCACGGGGCTTGTGCGCGCCTGGCCAATCGCGCCGCGCCGCTGTCCGCGAACCGGCCAATCGCCCGGAGGCCGCGTAGGAAATTCGAATGGCAACTCCTCGCTCCACATTCCGCGCAGAGAAACGAGGCTCCAAATTCAAATCAACGCAGCCGCACGCCGGCGGCGAGCGCGAGGGGCGGAGCCTGCCGGCGTGAGCGGGACGCGCGGTGTGAGCGCCCAGGAGAAAGGAAGGCGCTCCAGTTCCGGGTCAGGCCCTTCTCCCGCCTCCCTCGGCCTCCGCCATGGCGAACAGTGGCGGCGCCGGGGCGGCGACGACGGCGGCGAACATGAATGCGGTGAGGGAGACCATGGACGGTGAGTGCCCGTTGCTCTCCCTTTACCTTGCCCGCGCTCCCCAGAGCCAAGGCCGCAGGCGGGGGGAGCCCAGGGAGGACTCGAGGTCCCCTTCCAGCCCCAAACGGCATCTTCTAAGATCTTAGGACGGCTGACGAACCCATCCTTTGAGAGTTGTCCATTTGCTCCTGCGTAGTTTGTCGCGCGCACGGCGTTCCGTCCCCGACGTCAGCCGGGAGCGCGCTCCGTCCGGTGCCGGACACCGAGTGCCGCGCCCCCTCCGTCGCGCGGCCGCGACCCCGCGCGGCACCACCCGGTCCCCGCGCACGGCCCCGCCGAGCGCTTCGGAAGCCTCAAGACCTGAAGCCCAGTGTGGACATGGGCCGTGTGTGTTTGATCACCGCTTTGTCCCTTGCCCTCGGCACTTTGGTGGGCACTTTTTAAATATCCAGCGAATGAACAAATTGCCCCTTCATCAGAATTACCGCAGTTTTGCCTTGAAGTGGGTGACGCCAGTGTCCGGGTGCTGTGGGTGTTGCCTATTTTGACGCCCTGGGGCACGCGGGTGGAAAGCCTACACAAGTGTAGTATAAGATGAAATAAGTGCCTTGCAGTTACCCTCTCTCTCTACCCTCTGATGTTGGCTCTGCACTTTATACTCCTGTGGTGAGCTTGGACAAGCTAGTTACTTAAACATCTTGGAGCCTGTTTCTTTCTTTTTTGTAAATAAAACTCCATCTTTTAGGGTTGTTATGAATATTTAAATAGGACAACCAAGTAAAGGCATATCAAAGGTGATCAGTTATTTTTTGTATTACATGACATGTCATTTCACTTGTGCACTTCTTTCTTTGTCTCTATTTTTCTCACCTCCACCTATATATAAATGTTTGATAGATGTTAAATATTGCTGTTTGCAGTCTGTCTGGACATTTTCCAGGGGATATCACATCAACTTCCATCTTTGTAAAAGATAATCCTATGGAATCCTCACTAGGTAGTGCAGCCTTCTTGCTGTGTCTATGCCTCCTTCATTTCATGGGCTCTGCTTCTTGCATAGCACCTCCATAAGGGTGGTTCTGATAAAGGCTTCTGGCTTTTTCTACAGTGGCTGCTGCTTTCTTTTTCAAAGAATTACTTATAAGAGCCTTTGCATGTAATTTTTTTATCCAGTGTCTACCTTGCTGATTGTCTGTGAATTTTGCCCTTTATATCATATACAGCCTATTTTTCCATCCCTCTTGGTGTATCACAGTTTATTAGTTTTGTTTTGTAAGTGGATTTATATACATAGACATTTATGTAACGTTGCTATCTTTTATCATTCCTTGGAAGTCAATAAAGAATTTCTGCTGGTTTTCTTATATTAGCTGTACTTAGGTTCCTTATTTATATGGCCCTAGGATTCCATTTAAATAGCAAACTCACATTTTACCTCTAATGGAACTACTAATGTACAAATGACAACTGATAGTTTTGGTTGCAGCATCAAGATATTTCCTGAGAGAACTCAAAATGTAAAATGAAGATTATAGAACAGGGGTCCTCAAACTTTTTAAACAGGGGGCCAGTTCACTGTCCCTCAGACCGTTGGAGGGCCGGACTATAGTTTAAAAAAAACTATGAACAAATTCCTATGCACACTGCACATATCTTATTTTGAAGTAAAAAAACAAATGGGCAAAAACACCTGCATGTGGCCCATGGGCGGTAGTTTGAGGACTCCTGTTATAGAATGTGTACCAGGAGGGTGAAGGGAAAGCTCTCCCTTAGCCCTCAAAAGTTTTGCTGAAAAATCACCTCATAAAAGGCAGCTTAATTGGAGAAGAGGCATGCAGATTTATTTAGTCATAGTTTTATGTGACACAGAGAACACTTCAGAATGAAGACCCAACTCCCTATTGGGGTGCAGAAGCTTCTGCACCATCTTGAGGTTATAGAAATAATGGGAGTTTGAACCTGGTAAAACTGGTAAACTGGAATTGTGTTGAGGGGCAATAAATAAATACTAGGGAGAATTCAATGGCTTTGAAGAACATACAGTAGTCTGGGACAAAGTCTATTGAGCCTGCAGAGTGGACAATGGTTTGTGACAAAAGTCTTTCCAGGCCTGTTGACAGAATTTAGTCTTCCTTCCTGTGATACGGGTTCAGTTAATGAAAACTCAGGGAAAGGACCAGAGGTAATTGTTTTCTTTGGTAGTTCCACATTTCAGGCAGATTAGGAAGCTTCAGAGAACAACTTCATCCTATGCTTTTTTTGGAAGAGACTGTGTGTAGGGAGGTGGTTGTCAGTCCTTGAGCCTTCTTTTTCCATTCAGTATGAGCAAAGCATCATATTCTGGGGTATTGGTTTCTGTGTCCCGATAGTGAGAATATGGAAAAATGAAGAGATTTTTGTAGAATAGCAGTTGATGTATGGTATTTCACTGTATTTAAGTCCATGAGAGCTGGTGTGAAGTTTTCAAAACTTTTTTTTTGTTAAGTTTTCAAAACTTTGAGTCCCATTTCTCCCTTCAATGGCAGCATTTGTCTGCCCTCCTTCAAAATATGAGCCTCAGAACTCAGCTGTGACATTTGCATTTTAATTATGAAATGAAAGGATTTTGTTAAAGATATGGGAGAAAGCAGGTGAACTTTGTAGTTTATCTGCATAGCTCACTCTGAAAGGAACCTGATCTATCTCAGCCTGATTTTGTATAATGACTACTGCATGAGATCCTCTATTGCTGCAGTCCCCAACCCCAGGGCTGTGGCCTATTAGCACAGCAGGAGGTCAGCAGTGGGGAGACTTTATCTGTATTACACCCCATTGCTTGCATCCCTGCCTGAGCTCCCCTCGCTCCCCATCTTCCGTGGAAAAATTGTTTTCGGTAAAAATGGGTCCCTGGTGCCAAAAGGGTTGGGGAGTACTGCTCTACTGACATCCTTAGATCCTCAACATTCTCTTCCTATATTCTCAAAGTAGGCCTTTCAACTACCCTGTCTCCTCCAGTGTAGTTAATTGTCTCCTTCGCTTTTCAACTTTTTGAAATTTTAGATACTCTCTATTGATAACATCATACTTTAATTTTTATTTATATTGTAAAATTTTCCCTATACCTCTAATTTTAAGTATGACAATTATTTCTTACCAGAGGCTTCATTGTAGTACTACTTTGTATGTCAGGTTGTGAGCTTAAGAAACACCTTATAGAGAAAGGAGTTAAGAGTCCATAGTGTATTGACTGTTTAACTAGCACTACAAGGCTACCACCATCAATACAGTTGCTCATTTGAGAAAGAAACCTGGGAGTGAGTTTTGCTTACTCTTACCTCCCCTACTTCCTGTTCTTCACTAAACCCTTTCAGTTTTTCACTCGTTTCAGTTTTGACCATTTGTCTAAATCTCTCCTGTCCATGCCACCCATGACTGCAATAATGTAAGTGGACTTCCTCACCACATGTGCTCTGCCCATTTTTAAGATTCTTCCCATATTCTGCCAAAGTTTTTAAAATGCCAGTCTGATCTTGTTACTCTTCCATTTCGTATCTTCCAATAGCTTCGCATAGTTCTAAAATCTTCAGTAGGCCCATAGAAAATTTATATGTCTCCCTTATCTCATATTTTATACCCATTCACCCTCTTTGTTACATTGCTTTCACCCTACCTATTCAAGTCTATGGATTTACCAGGTTTCCTCCAGAATAGGAATCGTTACACAAATTGGGTTTTTGTTCTCACTCTTCACCCTTCCTCCTAACTGTGCATTAGTCTGGTTGATTTCCACTCACCTTTGACATCTAAACTTACTTGTCACCTCTTCAGACAAGTCTTTGCTAAAATACTATGTCCTTCTAAACTTGATAAGATGCCCTCGTAATTTGTTTCAAAAGTATGTCATTCTTATTTATTTCTTATTCTTTATCATAACTGGACTCAGTTATTATTTTAATATCTATCTTTCTTCCTAGACTGTAATGTCTTTGAGGACCAGGACCATATCATCTTTGTTCACAACTGTATTTCCAGCAGTATCATAACAGGCACAAAATACAGTTAGCTACAGGTTGACTATCCCTTTTCTTAAATGCTTAAGACCAATGTTTTGGATTTCAGATTTTTTTTAGAATTTTAAAATGTTGTCTTTACATAATGAGATATCTTGAGGATGGTACCTACATCTAAACATGAAATTCATTTATGTTTTATATATGCCTTATACACATAGCCTGGAGGAAATTGCATTTTTCCCTCAGGGACACTGAATAAACATGTGTTGTGCACTTGCGTTTTGATTTTGACCCATCACTCAAGGTCTGGTGTGGAATTTTCCACTTGTGGCGTCATATTGGTACTCAGAAAATTTCAGATTTTGGGGGCATTTTGAAGTTGAGATTTTGGGATTAGGAATACTCGACCTAACCTGTACCAAACATACAGTAGGCACTAAGGAAATAGTTATTGATTACAGACACTTTATGAAGATGGGAATTAAAGGTCAGTGCCAATTTTAAAAGAAATCTTAAAGGAAGTAGTACTAGAACTGAGATGGACCCGAAAAACAGCATAGAGTTATGGGAAGGGAAGAGAAAAGAAAGGAAAAAAGCACGAACAAAGGCATGAAGTCAGGAATAAGCATAGCATTTGTATTGGGGGGTTTATTTACTGGAGAGAGAGAAGAAAAATGAAAAACTGTTAGAGGCTTTAGTAGAATTCATTAGTTGGTTGGTTAGAAAATAAAAGTATATAAGTTTCCAGTATGTCAACAGTAACCACTTAAAAATGTAGGTGTGAAGTTGAATCCATTTA